TTCTGTGTTGGTCGGCAAGCATGACTCGCTGGAGCCTTGACCTGCCGAGTTAGCCAGTCTTAAGTTTCAGCAATGAGCAAACAGTTCAGGATTGCCTCCCACCTTTAGTAAAGATGCTCAACAGTAACAATTTCTGCCTTTTTTCATTCATTTATTTTAAATTATGAAGATGTAGGTATGTCCACAATTTAGATAAAATTGTAATTCTCAAATCTTATTGCTTAATACAATTATGGATTAAACTGTAAACGTTATTGGCAGGTATTGTCAATTACCATCATCATTTGTCTTGCAGAAATGTTATTTATTTTTAGACTTTGCTCCCAGAAAATTCATGCACATTGCACATTTAGCGTCCTGCTTGTTACACTTGTTGCCATGTGTGTTTAATGCTTTAATTTTCCTAATCTTGGTATTTAGTGTAAAGAATCTGGAAAGGTTTTAATCAGTGAAAGTGTCTTGAAACGTGATTTTAATACCAAAATTTGGCTTTAGTTATTCATTTATTAAAATCTTGTTAAGTATGGGTACCCCAACTCAGGCGCTGCAAGGCTTGCCCCATATATACGACCGTTCTGACAAGAACCCTGCTCATAGGTAAGTTCATTTCCTTCATGTCCATCGATTTATATTATGTATAATTTGCTCATATGCCATAGCATTACAGAACTGAACTGCATATACTGCACTAAAATCACTCTAGGTAATACCATGTTTTCTTATCATTCTAATAATTCAGCAGATAATCCGGTTCCTATTTTATTATAATCAGAAGACTATTGTGCAAACAGTTTGTTTGATGCTCCAACTGTTTTTCTCTAAACACTCCGAGTTCAAGAACTTGAATTTCTGCATTTAATGATCCTATATGTCTCTAATTTAAAGATATTTTCAATGTCACTTTAAAAATCTGTTCTTTTAAATGCTGAGAAAAACTCAAGTTCGATGTCAAGCGCGACGCAGTTTCATCTATGGGTACAATACTCAGAAATAGAAATAATGGTATTGACATAACTTGACGCCTTAGTAAAGTCGTGCGGCGAAGGCGCAGAAGTTTACTATAGCTAAGCCTCAGACCTAATCATAGCTTGGACAGATGCGGCACACCTGGGCAACACAGAAGTTGCTATTAATACTCTGCTGCCGCTGATGTCATAACTAAATTTTAACGCCTTCTTTAGAAAATTTGCAGTGTTTATCAGTTCGATTCAAGTTTGAGCTTTTGCGTCGCGAATTCTCGAAATCTCTTAGCAGAAGTATCAATTTCTTCAAGAATGTTGTAATACTTTAGTTCGTTGATGCTTTATCAGTAATGGGCATGTTCGTAATTTTAACTCGTAATATATTTTGAAAAAGACTGATCTCGTCTCATGCTGTTGTAATGGTCTTCTGTGTGGACACAACAGTACTACGTATATGGCATGGACCCATGCACAGCCGAAATTTCGCAGTAGCCTTAGTTTCAAAGTTCAAACCAGCATTGTTCCTTGAGGCGTGGTCCGGTGAGGTCAGAGTCTACGTAATCATATTCATTTCAATTCATTCAGTCAGATGATTTATATTATATATGTTTCGTATATGTGACAATTGACAGTTTGTTTGTAGCTATTATAATATTTCTCCCTTCCCTCCCTTAGGAAAGCTCCAGTTCCAATCATGTTTCGAGACTATTCTTCACAACCACAATTTCTATTCTAAAACTATTCTTCATAACCCCTCCCCGTGTTCTCAGATAGATAGAAGACAATTGTTTAGATGTAACTCGGGGGTTCAATAAATGTATGTATGTGACAGTGATCGTATTTATACCTACCTGGTCAATAACAGAATTGTATCAATGTTTTTGTTGTGTTATGCTTAAAACGATATGTTGTGAGTTAGGTAACTCTTCAGAGTCCGTAAAGAAGGTTTCTGCTATTTCTATGTGAGGTTGTTTTAGAGTTTTCGTTGTTACGTTTTTATCAGTTCCAAGTTAAATCTCTATGTAAATCTTCCACAATGTAAAAAAGTTTCTTCAGTGATGACCTCTATCAGTTACCTATAGTATAGAATATATACAATAATCACCTGCTTTCTTTCTCGACGGAAAACTTGTTCATCGTCTTTTGTTAGTAAATGAATGCACTCGATTTGTGTGGCTGATCTTGTCTCCAAATTTCCGCAATTCTGGGAAGTTCGACGAAATTACTGGACTATTTAATAAATGTTTATCTAACAGCAATAAAAAATTATAATCGTAAGCAACGAAAATCTGCGTCGGGCTTGTGTGCGTGCAAAGAAAGCTATGATCAAATTCGTACCATCCAATTCATTTTATCCAATAAAATATTATTATTAAGGTTCTTGTTGCTAGTACTGTGATATTGGCCATGAGACTCTTTTCTACCTCTTTTGGGGAACTATTAAACGCTGGTAGATATTTTATTCTTTAAAAATGTTGCCTCGTCAACTTTTTCGTCTAAAGTATTAACCGTTTGCCAGCTTATTGTGATTAAATACCAAAAACACAATATTAACTGCTTCTAGTGTTTCATATTCTGACGAAATTCTCTGCCTTGGTGTAGCTTTGTGTGCGAGCTTTGCATGATGTAATCGTTGCAGTACCGTAACGACCACAGTCATTGTGGGTCACAGGCACTTGGGGGAAAACTCCTGAACTAAATCAAGCAGCCACTGCCCTCGTCTCATAAGGTGGTGCAATATCCAGGACACGCGTCATGTTCCACGTCACTGAAGGGCTAAAAATTAAAGGCACCTAAAATATTTAATATAAATTCCCGGCCACAGCAGCGGATTCATTTCTTCTGAATTACGAACCCAAGTGGTAGTTCGAGTCACTTCATTGTCATTAAACCATACAACGAATTCGTAATAGCGCATAGATGAATAGCGCTATTACGAATTCGCAATAGCGTATTTAATGATTATTATTTGTTAATTATGTGCAATCTTGTATTGAAAATAATTTGTACCAATTTGAATTGAACAATTAATTTTGCAATAATAGCAATGGGTTCGAATTTGTTAGATACAGTTTCCGAAATCCTCAATGTCTTACGACACCTAAGATCTTCGAAATCATACTATATCATAGTGATGTCGGTGATCAAGAATAGGCCCGATGTGGCCTGTCGCCGATTCTTGTACTTTTCGTGACTTGTTAAAGGAGATCTAATAACAGGTCCTTTGACCGCATCTTTTCCAAACTGACGTTAGTTTGAAATAGCTACTAAACTTCTACCAAGATCGATATTGTGCTAGTCTATTCTTGACTGCGTTCACACCGCCACCGGGAGCGTCAACGATGTTATCATGGACGCTCTTCCACATTTCGGTGACTCGGAGCGAAAAGAAGTGTTGTCGCGTGGATGAGTTGCTACACAGTTTTTTTAGTTTATATCAACGAAAACGAGCCGTCATATTGATTTGGGGGTTGACAAGCACTAACGTGGTAAAGTTTATCGAGGTTAGTTCCTAGTAACTGGGGCTTCAACCAGCGAGATTTTGATTATTGTAGCTGTTGGTAAGCCACATCTGAAGCTCGCGATAGGTTAGGTTGCAATGCCTTGCGCTTGGTGCGCGGCGGCTTGCTGCCTTGCAAGGCTTGCGCCTTGCCTTGCATCATGTCATCAGTTTGATGTGGACTCTCACCATAGAAGGTTGCGGATGGTTAGGGCACCTACCTTGAATTGTCACTCGCGGCCGTCGCGGGTATCATGCCGAAATAGCTTTGAAATTTGTTTAGATTTCATGTAAATTTCCCCATAACCATTTAGTAATAGTCTAGTAAAAAATTCACTGATTACCCTTAAAAAGAAACTGCAATCCTATTTATTGTAACGACTTCTCTAATTTTTTCTTGTGGGCTTTAAATAATTTACGTCCTGATCCAAAGTAGCCTATTATACGTATTTAATACTGGAGGGCATTATACTCATTAAAAGTTGGATTCATAGGCAAAAGTTAAGATTGGACTGTTTATTCCTCGACCTTGGCAGTATAACTTAGTTATAAGAAATCACCGCCTCACTTGTGGTTTGCTCTAGTTTTAAGTTTTCCTCTTCGACTGCCAAATGCCAATGTATCCTGGGTTGCGTTTCCAAATATTTATAGAGTTAACAACTATCCGTTTTGCTTGTTTATAACCCCCCGATTACACTAACACGTTGATATTTGAATTTTTAATTTACTTCAATATCCTCATAAGTTTTTAATTTACTATCGTGAATTTAATATCTTTCATTGATGCTGTGAGTTCTTTTTATACGGAGGTCCATATCATGCTCGCTTTTTACTCTCATTACGCAGCGAAATTAGTTGCAAGCTTACTGCGCGCAGGAAATGCCCTGAATCATTTTGCCACATGATTTCTTAACGCTGATAATAAATCATTTTTGAACTTGATAAGCAGCTGTCGACTGTTTCCGAAATTTATTAGAATAACATGGTTAATGAAACCGATATCATGTCGGATTATAACCTTTGCCTCCTTCAAAACTCAGCAATGGATCTCCCGCGATCCAAGCCCCGCGAATTCCCGCACTTTAACAGAAGGTGAAAAATTACAGCTATTTACGATATTGATCAATAATTTGTGATATTTAACAGACTTTTCTCTGGGCAGGAATGAGATTCGAAATTGCGTTCATGAACTAGGTTCAGACTTAGTTTCATCCTATTTTATCATGAATTTGTGAACCGTTCGGCCACTTTTATCTCGGGATTTTAGTACTGTGGAGTGTGTTCCACCATAATATGGACTTCATAAAATAACTGCAAGGTTATCTGTATTAAAATCTGTTCTGAAAAAGTAATCTATTCCCTGTGGCTTCTGTTCTTTTCGAACCAGTATTTTTTTAGTTAAATCATTAATATTTTTTCATCTCCAAACATCAAAAGATATTCTAGTTTTCAGGTTAATGACTTTATTATTATGTATTACCAATCTTTACAATATCAATCTTAGAAACTAAAATCGTAATGTGCAACTTTTATTTCAGGGTGTTCGTGAACCGCAGTTTGAACTTGGAGAAAATCAAGTACTATGGATTTGACATGGATTACACTTTGGCGGGTGAGTATCAGTTGGAGTTTTGGAGCTGATTGAGTTGCTCTTACACGATGTATTAATAGAAAGCAGAGGCGCTGGTGTGGTTGAGTTATTTACATTAGTTCCGTTCCGAAAATTTCGCAGTTCGTCTTCCGCAACCTCATTGGATCAGTTCATTTATTAATAATTTGTTTGTATTGTCCTTTTGAACTATTTTTTCAATTTGCGAACTCCATTTCACTGGAATATTTTGGCATGAATAACCGTGCAATGGTTTGAGAGCGATGAAGTGTGTTGTTTTAGCCTTTCCATTAGCTCAAGAGGTTTCTTGAGCTTTATAAGTGTGTGGCAAGATTGATTGCTCAAACAGAAGAGCTTAATGCTCTTCTGTTTACTGGCTTGCTTTGCTGCTTTTTAGTTCGGTTCGGCACAGACCTTCTGGATATAATGGACACAGACGGGACTATATATACATTGTATAAACATTGTATAATTCACCGACTAAGTAAACGTTTCCTTTTATTGTCTCCTGGTCAACCCGAGGAAATTTAAAAAAATATTTATAAGCCAATAAAAAAAGAACCTTGATTAATTTCAAGACATGCTCTTCCTGCGTTTGTGCTAGATGCTGCAAACAAATTAGACGAGTTATCACTGATACGTAATCGTGGAATTTTATAAGATAACAATTTCTTGTAATTCATTTATAACTAGTCTCGGCCCTCGGGCACTACATGAGTAGGGTAATGGTAGATTGGGTAACTTGATGTTAGTGTATTTAAAAAATTCTTGCTTGCTACATGCACATTATTCAATACTCGAGGTACTAAAACACAAGGTTATAACTCCAAATAAATGAACAGCTTCCTAGTTTCCGGACCAATTGTTACAGATATACGAGTTATATGTATATATGTTTGGACTTTTTCAATCAAGAGACGAGTTGCAACAGCATTTCGAGACGAGACCTGTACAGGGACGTTGCACCGCAATGCGTTTTAGAAATGGTGATTTAGTTTCTTTCTAGTCTCGAAAACGCAGTCAGTTTGAATTTACTCGAGCTTATTTCCGATTTTCGAGACGGTTACTGATATTTGTACTTGGATGTTCTTTGTTGCCTGATTTTATGATTGAAGAAGTGGGCTGATTCGCCGATTCTTGAAGCATTGTGATATGAAATTCCGATAACCCGATACTGAGAATGAAAATGAATTTTGGATGGTTGCAGAAAAATAATATTACCTACTTTCCTCTTTATAAAATAATTTGAATTGCTGTTAATTACTGAAAATAATCGAGGAATTTCATATTTTTGACTCTTGAATAATGTATTTTTTTCGTCCATTCTAAGTATCAGAAGCAGACAACTTTGAACCATGACAATTGACATTATGTTTCATGACTAATTTTTTGTATAATTTTTTTACATTTTTCACTAATATTTCACGTATCATTTCAATAACTGGTCCAGTAACGGAACAGCCAATGGTTCGCCTTTTCGCAAGTACTCATTGATATTAAACTTTCGATGGCGCACCGATGGCAGGCTGACTCCCATCATGTAATTAAAGCCACCGGAATATCCTGCATAACTCTTATTTGGTCGTGCAGAGTACGCGTCGCCAGAATACGAGCAGCTGGGCTTTGAGCTGCTGCAGAGCAGACTCATCGCCATCGGCTACCCAGAGGAGATCAAAGAGTTCCAGTACGATCCTGCTTTTGCCATCAGGTTAGTTCAGTTCATTATCTAATTATCAACTGGTTTGTACATAACAATGGTTTCTATGCGCGGTAACTTTCTCGACTATTAATTGAAGTATTTCGATATCCGGGTTCTGACAGTTTGAAAATCACTCGACTGCTATGAAAGTTATGCCGGTTTTCTAGCAGGTGTTTCGAAATTGAGTAAGTAGGTGCACAATTCGGGTAATATTCTATTAGGGAAGATAGTGTAATGTACCCTATTACGGGAAAATATATCCTATTAGCTATGAAAAGGGAGTTCAAACTGTGACGACTCGCTCAGAATAGATTGTCACCACCAAATGTCGACCGTTATGTAACGAAATAGATCGGTGAATATATTTCGTCCACTCTCGGTGAAAGCGCTCTTTTATATTTCATAGCTCTCTTTCAATCATAGCCAGCAGACTTTTGAAAGGAATCAATTAAACTGGTTCCTTTTTCCTCACTCGGTTGTTCCAAATTCAAATAAAAGCTATGAACTCCTCTATCACTGGCTACAGCTCTATCTTAGCTGGCCTAATGTTGATTTTATACTTTTTTTCTTCTTCACACTGTATACATGTGTTGGTAGACGTAAATTAAGTATGTAGATGCCTAATGCTTGATTTACGAGCATTTCATTGGTAACAATAATGTATACATGGGCTGAGAAATTAGCTTACTAATCATGATTGTTGAACAGTTTTTATCGTGAGCATCAGTTACAGTCTGAAAATTTTGTTCCACGCCTTATAAAGATACGGGGCGTCCCGTATACGTCCCGTAAAGATACGGCGACCGTTATGAGGCGTAGAGTTAAGTGTGCAAGTACAATCCCTGTGTCGAGCGCCACAACCAACCATGTCACATGCACTACACAGTCCTGAGCTTTCTCTTCTAAGATAAGCAGTAAGATTTCATTTCATTTGCGCAGTTCGATTGCAATGTTTGAACCCTCTGACACCAGCCAACGCTCTGCGCTCGTTGTTTATCCATGTTTACGATGACCAGACAACCATGGCCAGACAACCGTTTACGATAGCTCTAAACCGTGCTGATCTGTGTCTATGCTGTCAGGTTTCATACCACTTCATCGATACCGTTGCATTTAAGTTCTATTCAACTTCACTATCGGCGAACCTCGAATAGCTGATGAAGTATTTACATTATTATATATTTTTTTAATCATATCTCTGCCTACACTCGGTTTTCTCTTTATCTGGTAACAGTTATTCGTTCCTACTTTTGCTGCGTTTTTTACATTTCAGTTTTTTTCATACTTTCAATGAACGCACGGTAACTTTCTCAATTATTAATTTTGTTTCTTCGTTACAGTTCGCCAACCCGCAGCCGCAGCCCCTTGGCTCCGTATAATTTGCGATTGAATGCTTTTATGTCCGGGTCCTGATAATTTTAAAACCGCTGTAAAAGTTTGGCTGTTTTCTAGCAGGTGTTCAGGAATTGAACAAGCAGATGAACAAGAGCTCACCAGCTCGTGTTCTAAAATCAACACCTGCTGGTGAGTCCGTGTTCCATTTCGAGCGTCGATGATTTGCTATTCCGTTTAAATTAACTCCTCGTTCAATGTTACATGTTGGAATAGCTTCTGTTGAAAATAAAATTTGGGTATGGAAAGTATGAAAGTGAGCATTAGGAAGATTTATCTCTGTGATCTAAATCAAAGTGTTGCTTCACAAATGTCGTGTAATATATATACACAAAACGTCTCGCTATACGCTCTGTAAAACGTATCGCCTTTCCTGTGTAAAGCTATGTACGTGTCCCACATGCACACCTATTCTCATTCTCAATAATTCGACGTGTCAGGCAGCCTTTCACACAACATGTGACAGACAGCCTGCCTGTTTCAGCAGTTCGTTGACCTGCGGCTCAGCACACGGTTGGCTGCAACGTCACCATGTTGATTTAAAGGACTTCATCTTTTTTATTACCGATGTTAATACAGCTGTAAATTGTTAAATTGGTAGCCAGGTTCATTTAATGTTATTGGCAATTTACTTGCTCTTTTAAATTAATCTCCAGCCTGTTGGAGCAAATCAAAATTCCTTTGACTTTGATTTTGTATTAAAATTTTTCTTACGGAGTCCTTCGAAATTAATGATCCTCACGTTACACTCGGATTTCAATGAATCCAGACCTCGTGTAACTAGACATAATCCGATATTGTTGATTATTCATTGTGCACATGTAACACTTATTTCTTCCAACTTTCAGTCGCAGTCTCACATTCAACATCTTCGTTCCAATTTTCCCCCGTTTCTCAAACATTACAAAGTATTGAGTTTTAAAATCAAAACTTGATGGCATTTTGGAAACTATCTCTTTGTTAGTAACTAATGGAAGGTTGTTCCTGCAGAGGCCTCTGGTTTGATCGCCTGTACGGCAATCTTCTGAAGGTCGACGGTTTTGGCAACATTCTCATCTGTGTTCATGGGTTCAGCTTCCTGAAGCCGTAAGCTCGACGCAATTTTATTTTTTTAACACTAAATTTTTGATTGATACCCCGAAAAAATTATACTAAGTTATGCACATAATTTACTATCACTTGATACTTGGATAGTTTGAATATAATAGTTAGCTAGTTGAAAGAATAAAGAAAATCGTTCAACTTATTTTTAAGTTTCTCCATGTTTCCTTTTGTTCATTGCACTTTCGGATCCTTGAATAATTTCAATCCATTTCCATTTTTGCAGATCGGAAATTTACGATTTATATCCCAACAAATTCATCCAGCTCGACGAGTCAAGAATCTACGTGATGAACACCCTGTTCAATTTGCCTGAGATTTACATGATCGCGTGTCTCGTTGACTTCTTCAGCAACAGCGCTCAGTACGTCAAGAGTCGGGAGGGCGTCAAGTGCGGCGAGCTGTACATGAGTTACAAGAGCATCTTCCAGGACATCAGGGCAGCTATGGACTGGGTTCATATGAAGGTAAGTTGTGCTGACGCGGACTGTCATCTTTGAGGAACCAGCTATGCCAAATGCTACAGTTTATTCATCATGCCGTTATCCTCATAATTTTTATGATATTCATCATACCGTTATCCTCATAATTTTTATGATATTCTTCATACCGTTATCCTCATAATTTTTATGATATTCATAATACCGTTATCCTCATAATTTCATACCGTTTATTCATCATACTATTATCCTCATAATTTTGTGAAAGTAGAGCATTGTCTCCTGCTGTTGCCAAACAACTGTAGGCGACAATTCTCAACTTTTTTTTTCAAGGCTTTCCTCATCGCGAATTCTGTATCTTTTTCAATCGCCTAGCTAATGTGTTTAAATTCGTTACGCAATTTCCTTGTGTTGTTGCCAGGGCAGCTTGAAGACCCGCACGGTGCAGTCGATGTCGCGCTACGTGCAGCGCGACGACCGCCTGCCGCTGCTGCTGGACCGCATGAAGCAGTCGGGCGCCTTCATCTTCCTGCTTACCAACTCCGAGTACTGGTACACCAAGGAGGTCATGACGTACCTCCTCAACTTCCCCGACGCGGTGAGTAACTCGTCCATTGGCTGCCTTAGAACACCAGAAAATTATTGTGGATGTTGTGAGTATTCTTCAATGATGGGGCTCTTGAACCGGGAAATTATTTTGGATGTTGTGAGTATTCGTCCAGAAGGAAGCTCTTGCAGAAGGAGACATGGTGTATGTAATTAGGAATTCGCACGTCAACTGGCTGATGATACGAGAAACTATTCACGGATGTTTAGAGTTGTTTTTTACTGCGTCTAGAAAACTTGAACGACAAATGAAAAATCTTTAAAGTTCTGTGTAACTATTTTATAAGTGGTTATGAAGAAAATATTACCGAGCTCGAATTGCTGTCTAAACATGATTGTGAACTTCTCTAGATAATTAATCCTTCTGTAACAATAGAGGTTTAGAGTCACAGAAAATATGTAGTTGAAGTTAATTTAATTTATCCGATTCTCGAGCACTTGCATTCTCGACAAGCACTCGCAAAATTGTTGCATTGTTGATTTTTTATCGTCCTACTGTGTGTTTTGTTCTAACTTTATTTTCTGTTTACACGATGAGTTCACGATTGTCCTTTTCTCTACCCAGAACGGAGAAGTGCGTGACTGGAAGTCATACTTCCACACAATCGTCGTTGACGCCAACAAACCGAATTTCTTCTCCGACGGCACAATCATGCGTCAGGTCGACACGGAAACCGGGGCTCTTAGGCTCGGTACCCACACTGGCAAATTCCAGCCCGGGCAGGTCTATTCCGGAGGTTTGCAAACTTGATTTTCGTGGGAGCTTAACTACTTAAATTTTTGTTTTTATTGTTTTTGTAATTGAAAAAATAAATACTTTTTGTAGTCGGAAGAACAGGCAAGATTTTTTCGCCGCCACATTAGCTGTGATTGTTAGAGGTTTAAACGTCTTTGTCTCGTATGACTGGACCATAGTCTACTATAAGCAATACTAATTCATCCTAGCGATACCATTTCATGCCATTTTCCCAACAGTGTATTTTCTTCTACTTTTTCTAATGTTATCATGTCTTTCATTAAGGCTCTTGCGACGTCTTCACCAACCTAGTCGGTGCCAAAGGCAAAGACGTGCTCTACGTTGGCGACCACATCTTCGGCGATATTCTGAAATCTAAGAAAATCAGAGGATGGAGGACATTCTTAATCGTACCGGAGTTGGTCCGAGAGCTGCAAGTTTGGACGGATAAGAACCACTTTTTTTCGAAACTGCAAAATTTAGACGTCATGTTGGGTGACTTATACAAGTGAGATTCCATTTTGTTCGGAGTTTTCATTAATTATTCATTCTATTTTGCATTTTCTGCGAGAAAAATGATAAAATTCTCAAATCAACTTTTTGGGCTCCTTAACTATTCATTGTATAGCATCATTAATTTGATCATGTTTATTTAGCTTCAGATGGTAAAATTCTGCGTTATATATTAAAGAAGAATTCAGTCTGTCTTGTAAACCAATTATGGGCCGTTTAATAATGAACCAAATAATCAGCGTAAAGTCCTTTTTGCTTAAACTTTCTCAACAGGAAATCAACTACTCGGAATTAACTCTTTCTCAGCAACTAACAGTCATATTATGAACTCTAGAAATTACCATGTAATACTGTACTTCTTAGATTTGAATCATGAACAGTTTTGAGACAAAAAAATCAATGCTTCTCGATATTAAAATGGTTTCTAATATGAGAATGGTTTCTAATGAAAACATGGCCTAAGCTTCTCCTTTTTTTCCAGAAACCTGGACTCCAGCACCAACGAGAGGCCTGACCTGAGCAAGCTTAGGTCAGCCATGCGGGAGGTGACACACGAGATGGACCTGAGCTACGGGATGATGGGTTCGCTCTTCAGGTCGGGCAGTCGACAAACGCATTTCTCTAATCAAGTATCACGATATGCAGATGTCTACGCCTCTACCGTCCTCAACCTCCTCTACTACCCGTTCAGCTACATGTTCCGAGCGCCCGCTATGCTCATGCCGCATGAATCTACCGTCACTCATGAACAAGTTTTCAAAGTCACCGACGCTCCGTTGTCTACTATGAGTCGCGCCTACAGCGTGCAGAAAGAAACTCCTCCCCTCAATAAAATAAAAGTGAGAGCTCGTGAGATGTTGCCACAATAAGTACTGTTAAGATTAAAGTGGGAGCTGTTGCCTCAGTGAATAGGTGATAAAATTAAAGTAAGAGCTTGAGAGCTGTTGTTAGAAATGAATATGTGATAAGATTAAAGCGAGAGATTGAGAACTGCTGCAAAAATGAATAGGAGATAAGATTAAAGTGTGAGCTGGTAAGCGTTGCCAGAATGAAGAGACTGTCGAGATGGCCTTATAAATTCTTTGCCTGTCATCCTTGCGGGCCAGAGGATGAGAGAGCTGTCCTATGATGTCGTAAATAATACATCTAAATTCATTGCAAAATTAGCCAAATATTTATTCATTATAACTAGCAAGTTAGCAACCTATCTCTTAATTTCATTGCATGCATTAATTTCTCTATTGCTATAAACTCCTGCCTTTACTCGTGTATCAAATTTTCATAAAAATCAAAATTTTAACCGTTGAACTTGCAATTAAGTTCAAAATGTCCAAGTAAGTATCTTTCCTGCTATTCATTAAATTATTTTGACTTTTTCAAGCACTCTTTATTATAGTTTTCAGTAACCGAAACATATCGGAACATTTTTGTGTTTACTATTAAGAATTTGAGAAGATGGCCAGTCACTCTGGACTACGTCAATTCTTAATCCTTCTTCTCACTCATCGCTTTTCTTGAATTTTTTTAACATAATTTGCTCTTACTATCATTTTTCTTGAATGAACGATCATCTATTTCTCTTTCATCCACTATTGCCCTTTGATGCATTGAGCTCTTATTTCTTTCATAAATTGTTTCACATTACTGTATTGGGCAACCATATATCTCTTTTTATTTATTCTAAGGTAGAGTGCATATATTTCCTCTCGTATCTTATTTTTCCTTGAATGTGAGGCGAATCTTTTTCTCTCGTTTATGAAACACTTTGAATTGCTTGCGAATCCATATCCTCTCACTCATTTTTTTCCTAGAATTTATTACGCATTATATCCATACACTCTGTGTGTTCATTGAACTGTTATGCGCATCTGCATTGTCTCGCTCATTATTTTAATTAAATGGATTCGGTTTGATGGTTGCATTTCGCTCAGGTCTTGAGTCGCGCCAACTCGATGGTACCCCACGCCCGCGCCGAGGCTCCTCGCCACGTCACTCATCATCACGACGACGACGCAGACTCTGAGGACGAGAGCGACGAGAAGAGCTCATAAACCGCAATATGTTTCTAAGCCAGCAAGAACTATGCCAGGAATAGCTCTGAAGCCATTTAAAGATCTGTAGGCAGGAACAGCTCTTGAGCCAGCAAGAGCTCCTAAGCCAGACGGTTTGAATTGGATTGTGTTAAGTCGTTCGTTATGAACTGTCCATTAACTGTAGTGGTTGTCGAGTTAACTGCGATCTTGGTCGAATGTACATCGTAATGTTCTTCTGTCCCGATATCGAAAGCAGCTACTCCTGTTGCAGCATTTGCTTTTCATTTGCGCTTTGAAAATTGTCAAAGTGGGATTCACAAGGATTTTGGTAAGATTAGAGTATCGAGTATTTCATATTTTTCGCTACACTCATTTTTTATTCGAATGCAAGAATATTATATGAGAATAAAAGAAGCGATGCCATAAAATTCATATTCCTTCACTATTCTGTTCTGAAAGTTGTCATGATTTATTTCTATGTTGCTTCTAAGTTGTTGGATTTTTGTTTTGTAGATGTGGCTGGCATTACTGCAAGTCTCTCTACTGCCTGACTTGCAGAGTTCACGGAAAAATTATGAATCGAACTCGCCAGGTTTTTGGGACGTGTGTTGTTAGACGCAATATTTATTTGATATTGGAATGGCTTTGTTTTATTAAATTGTATCAGCTGAGTAGACGTCAAATATAGAATGATTGTCATTCCTGGCTATGCACTAATGCCTGGTGCAGGCGCTATTATTTTGTACTGAACTACATCTGACTTCGAGGAAGAAACGAATGTTCTTTTTTACTCGATATTACCGACCTTTCAACCATCAATTAATACAGCTTGCACGCAGGCACGACTAATCATCGAAGTGCCCATCCGTAGATTCGGTTGCATGGATACGTACTGAGAATAAAAGCATCGTTTGCTGTTCTGTATTGTGAATGATAGCATCGTTTGCTGTTCTGTATTGGGAATGATAGCATCGCTTGTTCTGTATTGAGAATGATAGCATCGTTTGCTGTTCTGTATTGTGAATGATAGCATCGTTTGCTGTTCTGTATTGGGAATGATAGCATCGTTTGCTGTTCTGTATTGAGAATGATAGCATCGTTTGCTATTCTGTATTGGGAACGATAGCATCGTTTGCTGTTCTGTATTGGGAATGATAGCATCGTATGCTGTTCTGTATTGGGAATGATAGCATCGTATGCTATTCTCTATTGGGAATGATATCATCGTTTGCTATTCTGTATTGGGAATGATAGCATCGTTTGCTGTTCTGTATTGGGAATGATAGCATCGTATGCGATTCTGTTTCAATATGCGCATGAAATTGGTACTTTTACACTTTTTTTTTATCGCAACGAGTCTTCGTGCTTTAGATTTTATTTTCTTGGTGAAGTTTTATAGGGCAAAGCAATGGGGTAACTTGGTTCTTCCGCAACAAACGTCAACCTTTCGATATTTGACATTCTTCTTAAAGTCTGTAGAGTGCTGTAGACTGCATGAACTTCGAGAAGCGGTATTTCGTCGATTAGACTACTAACTTTCTGAGAACATTTGATGTTTGATAGTTTTAGTGTAGACTTCAACGTTTATCGTGAAGCAGATTACCGTCGCGTGCTGACCAGTTAATCTGGCCTCTCTGCCATGACGTATTCCAGTTTAGTGTTATTATGATACTAGATGACTCAGCTCCGCGACTCTCTAGAAACTTCTCGTTTATGATATTTCTAATATTTTGAATAAATCGTGATTCTATTATGAACTAATTATTGTTACGGCTGATTTCATGTAAGCTATTGTTGATGTGTTTGATGCTAATGAAGGCAATGTTTCCTCTGATTACTTCTCTATTACATTTCAACGATAAATATCCAACATACTTATATATTTGCTCAACTTCAACAAAATAGCCCGACATGAGACATTGTCGATTGAATCCTCTACGATGATTCTGGTCCTAACTCTACCAGTGACGTTATCTTGTCGGAGCTTGAATAAGATGAGTCATGCATGAAGCTTTCTATTTTAGCTTTGTTTTTAATTTCTAGCGTGGGGCAATAAATTATTTTCTGACTTTTTGAACGTTTAACCTGTCAGGTTTATTCCTGTACTGTCATAGAATTACTTTCAGCAATATATTTTCGAAATCAACGATATAGCTGAATTGTTGAGGGAACAAGCACTAGAACAGTAAATCCAATATTTTGTGCTTCATGGGTCTTTTGAACATCAACTCTAACTTGAAAATTCATTCATTGTCTTCATTTAATTAAGGAAAAGGAAAAAATAAGCATTACAAAAACTATATTTTTTCAATAATTACAGATTCATATTTATTTTCTGTATAATTAAGTATAGGATGCCTGATTTTCGTACTCTCGATGTCAAATGATTTATGATATCTCTAATATCTTTCCTTTTATAACAGTCAAAAATCGGCTTCGGAAAGGGTATAACTATTTACTAACTTGCATTCTTTTTCAATGTTGCTAATATCGACGGTCTATTGATTGCTCTACCTGTTGTGTCCTCAATCAAATAATGAATTTTTATTCATCAGTTTACCTACCGAACTTATATCCTACTGCGACTGACGCTGTCACATATGAATTAATTTGTAGTTCTTATTTGATGATGAAAATAATAATTATATACCGAAGGGAGAATGGTAGTTTCACAGGTACCTTCTTAGATATGTTGCCTACTGGCACAAAATTTCTTATGCATTAAACTGAAGTTAGAAACTTGCCATTGTAGTAGTTTGCAAATGGGACGTCATTTACCACATTCTTAGCGGAAACTGTTTGCTCTCTTTACAAGTGTAATTGTTGTGGCCTGGACTAGGTAGAAATGGCCTTAGAATCATTTAAAATAAGTGTCACATTTTAGATAGTTTGGCTGTCGAACAGCTACTCGGGATTGTGATAGTATTGGGATTGTAGAATTGTTAGTAATTAGCTGAAGATTTCAAATGATTTTTTTTTTTTTTGAGCTCACTTTCCATGATTGGCCGTCAAAAGCGCAGTTCTACAAGAGTTGGTGTCATACGAGCAGATTTATCAATATTTTGGTGATCCCACTGAAATCAGCGAGCAACAATTACGCTGTATTTTGTCGAATAACTATACAATTATAGTTTTTCTTGCTTTAGAACGAACAGAATCCTACACCAATATTTGGTAGCGCGTCAGTTTCACAGTTCCATCATTTTTATTTTTAACATTCGTTCCGAGTCGAAGAAATGTCGGTTACTCATTAGATTGTTCGGTTTTTACTTTTGAACCTTCGTGAGGTACATTGCATTGTACTGGCTAACATTTATAAACCATCTTTGACTTGGTCGCAACCTTATTTGCTGTGATAACCACATCATTTTTTCGCTTAATTGTTAACTGATCTTTGTCGGTGCCTATGTTCATACTTTCAATAAAATTACGCTTTCAATAACTAATTTAACTTCAGAAAAAGGGGCTTTGAGATCCTCGAATTTCAAGCATATTATTTGAAAAATGAGAGCGTGCTCGACAGCTCTATCTAACAAAAATTCCAATTTAACTTTACACTGAAGCCTTAATAAGGCCAGAGAGAAGAACGGAACATTGAAATGGTCAGTCAAACTCTGACCGGAATGAAAACTGTACAACAACAGAAGTAGTTCATCGCGACATAACCATTTATATTGAAGTAATCAAAGCGCTGCGCTCTGTGTTAGACATTATTAACAGGCCCCAGAACGGTTGGTTACTTTCAGGATAATTTGAGCAAAGAAATCGACGAAGGAAGGTAGTGTAGTTTATTAATGTAACAGTTGTTTCAAGCAAACACTCGAAACAAAGGAAACAAATTAGAAAATTAATTTGATTTTCTAAATAAATGCCGTAATCAGTACCTAGTAAAGGAATATTTATCAATTTCATTCACGAGAAAATGGGATATATATTGAATCATTGAACACGAGTGATGCCAAGACATTCTGCATTTCAAGAAGATATGTTGACTTCAGCTACTAATAGATAGATAGATCTCTGATATAAATAACATTTATTTCCGTATTAAAACTAATTATAAAGGCAAATATATTCGTTTCAAGAACCCAAGTAAAAACGTTAAATGTATAAATTGCTATCCACCTATTACCGCACTCCAACCTTATGCTACAAATGAAATCGCCCTCGTACTGAAGAACATAGCTATGCAATTATGGTATGCTTCAAAATTCATTCAAATTTTTAAAGAAAGAATTGCAGACGTAAAAAATCCTTTGAAAATGGCAACTGGTGTAACTCAGCACTTAGTTATTTAACTACTGCATTGAAGGAGTGGTTATAGAGGAAAACTATGCCTAAACTTCAACAAATTTGCATTTACAGTCTCGTCCGAACATATAATCGGACAATTAAACTCTAACACAAAAACCTCCACGAATAAAATCTTACACAGAGTGTCCCAAAATTCCGGTAATTATTAAAATGCCATACAACACGGGGGCACTCGGACTCGCACTCAATACAAAAAAAAAGGTCAGCCTAGTGTAGGACAAAATTCTATGCTTCGTATCGTTAAACTATGGTATTAGTAAGGTTATGGCTGTTTTATTTTTCAATAAATTGCAAGGAGGGTATAGTCAAGTATTGCAAAATCTTAAGCTGATAAAATGATATACAAATATGCAAATTATTTATTTAATGGATATCCCATTCTTATTTTCATTTGCTCAAACTGATTCTAGACAGAACCTGGCTATATATGCGGACGTTTTGGATTGAGGGAAGAAATCTACAAACAGACTGACCACGCTATAATTTTCCCAACACCAGACACTAAATTGCAACGAAAATTTTTTACCAAAAGAATATTTACCGCTTTCACACCGTGCATACAATAAAGTTATGGAAATGTGCAAAAATTGTAAACGCCAGACGGGCCAAACTTGTCTAGGAATTGATATTTGAAGCGTGTGTGTGCGCGCTATAGCTGCTAATTTCAATTCAATTTGCCTCATTATTCTTCTTCACTGAGGGCAGTGTGTCCAACGCTTTTTTTCTTATAACAAGGCTACAAATCAATCAAACGTGATTGTGTGCCAGCACATAAATTAAGTTAGACAACAACACAAATACTAATAAATAGAGCATTCAAGAAGAAATAATAGGTACGAATTAACAAACTGAGTAAAAGCTAAATGCAATGTTACTTGACGAACAAACATCACAAACCTTTGCAAATTTTGACAAGAGAATTGGACTATCAGATACTCAATATTGTGCCTTTAATGTTATCTCATAAATTTTAATTAAAGTGGTATGTCCAATGAAGTTCATTGGAACAAAAATAAGATGAAAATAACGGAATGTAGATACAAATCAGCTTCAAAAGTCTGTCGACATAGATGTGATTCGGTGAATAAAAAATTTGAAAATGCATAAAGCTTTCAAATTTCATCTTCAACATGATCTAAAAGCGAAGATAAACTTTCCAAGTAGTAATTATCCTACTAAAATAAAACTTTGTATTTATTCAACGAAATAACACAAAGGAGAAAGAGCTGGCAAGTGCAGGTCTTTTTAACGCAGGCGCCCACTCGAAAGTAAATAATTTATTCAAAGAATAAACCTCCGAATACTTGTGAATACTACGAGTCACGAGCGTCTAAGGAAAACCCAGATCCCGACTCGAGAGGATTTCTGCAGCAAAATGTGCCTAGCAAGTGAGGTTAAGAAGGAATAATCCATTACATTGTAAAGAGCTCAGAAAGCGAATGTAGAGAAGAGTTCTTAGGAATGAGAAAACGCTTGAATACGTGAGAAGAAAATTAGCCAGCAAAGTTGAGAAGAGATAAATTCTTAGAAAAAAATCTGGAAGCAAACGATGAATTTATTCAATATCTAAACAATGATTAACCATGATATAAGTACGAATATTATATTTTTAAAAATGGATTAGAAAGTTTAGACGGTGATGAGGTTGCCGCTGCACATGCCACAGGGATGGAGGCTGCGAGGATCGATGGTGGGAGCTTCCTCCATCTCCTTGATGAGAGACATGATGCGGGACACCGTCGCGCTCTGCGGCCTCGTCTCCTGGTCACCAACTGCAAGCAACGTAAATAATGTAGTGACAAATTGCTCAGAAACTGCCAGAATAAGGCAATAAGTTACTAAGAAACTGCCAGAATAAGGTAACAAATTAATCAGAAGCTGCCAAAATAAGGTAAAAAATTACTCAGAAACTGCCAGAATAATTATATAAGATAACAAGTTACTCACGAACTGCAATGCATACGTTTTTGGTTAAATAAGTCAGAAAAGAGGTGAATGGAGCACAGTAACTGAACTTAAAAATTACCTTTAAATGAGGCATTGAAATTGTTAGCTGAGCAAGAGAAGTAAAAGTAAATTTCAGTATCTAGAATAAGTGAAACGTTTTATTGAGATGAGCAAGTGCAAATACCATATCGTAAAAAATGTTTTTCGTAATTTCATTTCAAGTCATGCATCGTAGTTGATGGTTGCACTTGCAGGACAGCAAATGCAGCAAAATATTACAACGTTCATAAAACTAATCAATTGGTACGAATAAGATTTCCACGCAGATTTAAATTTATTGATAATTCGAAGATTAGATTATCAAGTAAGATATTTCAACGCATGTTAATCTCTTATTTAAAGCCATACCACCAGAACAATATTCAAGCACTTTACACTTACTTTAATTTTATTTTGAAATAAAAACGGTGTTTGTAGGAATTGAGGTCTTCCAAAAGATCTTATATATATATTCTACTCGATCACATGATAACAATCTTGCGAATTGATTAATAAGATAATTAATAATAATTATCTTTTGAAAATTAATTAATAAGGATTACTAACCCGATGAGACCTTTGAAGATGTCTCTTCATTTGTGCTGCCAGAGGTAGTAAGGGAATTTGGACCACTAGTGGCTGGGTTGCCATTGTGGTCCTTTACGTCGACTGCATTCATGGCATCAGATTCTGCACAAATAAATTTAATACTTGAGTTACACTTAAATTCAGGATATATTAGAAACCGAACTGAAGGGATGATCCTGGACGTCGAAGCAATATGCCTGAGGCGGGAAATATTTGTCTGATTTTATGGACTAAAATTTCTTGCTTTTGTACACAGAAATTATCTGCAATCGTCTCCGAAAAAGTCTCGCAAACATTTTTCAGGAATATTTTGAAGTTCGCATGTAGACGTCCGGGTGCCATGATGAGAAGGTCCTGAAGTGTATGGCTAACCTTGGCTGACGGTTGTGAGGAGTTGTGAAGGCACGAGTGTATGGCTAACCTTGGCTGACGGTTGTGAGGGGTTGTGAAGGCACGAGTGTATGGCTAACCTTGGCTGACTGTTGTGAGGAGTTGGTTGACGGAGCTCAAAAGTCGCTGCGTGTCGCCGCCTCGCTCTTCTACGAGCAGCTTGATCAGCTTCTGCACGGTTAAACCAATAAATAACTTTAAGGCATTGTCTAATGTGCAGATAATAAGTTAATGAGAGAAAGAAACTTCAATGCATTACAAAGTTATAATTATAACCTAGAACGATATTGACATTCATATCTGGGCAAAATTTCGTTGGAATCTAAAAACAAACTATGCAAGACCTAATCTATAACATTGAGAAGAATTAGAAAAACTTTACTTTCATGTTGGAAGCATTTCAGAGTACTAGAACTCACTACTGTTTAGATGTCATTTTCAATAATCAATTGGATAGCAAATGCTTTCTAATTGATCTAATTACAACGTTAACTGAACGCAAAATCTTTGCATCTCATTGGAATAAACGACTTCAAATTCAATTATTACGTCTAAGAAACATTTTTAATGTTCTTGCAGAGCTGACGGTGGTTTAAAATATTAATTTAATTGTATCTATTAACATAGGGGCAGCATAAATAAACTAATACTTAAAATACAAAACGAAAATACGGACAAAATATTATATTCACCTGGAGCTCAGCTAGCTTCTCGACAAGGGTCTGGCGGTCGCCTCTGAGGCGGTCGAGCTCGAGGTCTTTCTCTCGCATCTGCTGGCTCATGACACCGCGCTTGAACTGATATATGGTGATGTAGTCACCTGTAATAAAATATAAGATGATGGTGATGTAGTCACCTGCAATCAAACATAAGATGATGATGGTGATGTAGTCATCCGCAATCAAACATAAGATGATGATGGTGATGTAGTCACCTGCAATCAAACATAAGATGATGATGGTGATGTAGTCACCTGCAATCACTTGAAATAAATATTCAACAGCTAACTTTTTCAGACAACTAATTACACCTGCAACAACTTATTACGGAGCACTGTCGGAATATCAACAGTTTAGCGAACAAACTTTTCCTACCACATTTTTGGTCTATGCTCGTAACTGTGGGACAAATGCCCTCACAAATTAGACGAACTGATCATTCACATCAACTCTACCCTTATTCCCGAAGCTGGAAACTGTAACGTTCATAGACGAACTGATCGTTTACATCAACTCTACACTTTTCCCGAAGCTGCAAGCTGTAACTTTCAATTTCACAGAGCATCTCACCGATAGTGTCGTTCTCGAGTTGCAGCTGCTCCATGGTGACCTCAAGTCTCTGGTTTTCCTCAGTGAGCTCAGCGACCTGCTTCATGGCGCGCTGGAAGCGCCCCACGAGCGCCGAGTGTGTGCTCGACAGCTGCGCCAAGCGGTACTCCAGCAGCGCGCAGCGTTCGGCAGGGGCTGCGCGAAAAATTATAACATTAACCACTTTCAGACGGATCCATTTTACGTCGTCATAGTTTTTCGTTCATTAAGCACAAAGTCTGGTAGCTAAAGTTAACATCAGTAGACAAAATGTTAACCTACAGTCAATGGATTATTAAAAATCGTCAATACTATTTATATAGAGCGGGAGTTGTTGACAAAACGTTAACCCTTTGTCTATGAATCAATTAAACGTCGTCAATACTATTCCTACCTAATGGCCTGGACTCACCGAGAGTAGACAAAAAAGTATGATATTGCTACCTAAAAACATGGAACCGAAAATTAGTCATTAGGCAATGGCCTAAATTGGATTTTCATGTTCAATAAATAATTATATGAGGCAACAGTGATGTAAAGTCACTGTTTAGCTATAAAGAAAATTATGTCTAAAGAATTGCAGGAATTATGAGCGGAAAGTAAACCACCGTGAAGAGAAGCAAGGCCTCAGACTCGGGATAAGTCGGCATGCAGGTTCATTGCAGCGTCACAGGCTTTGTTTTAATGCAAGTGAGGAAAATATAGGTTGAGCAGCACGAAATATAATGACCACATGAAAGCGAGTGCTGAGTTTAAGAACAATTAGGCTAATGTTCATTACATCTAAACTTAGCTAAGTTAGAAAAAGTCATCCGTCTTCATTAGTGATGAAGACTTTTTTAAAGACATCAAGTCTTTTCATCGTCTAGTTTCATCAGCGCAGAAGTCTTTTCAAATGAAAATACTTGTTGATTTGACCGGCGGGCATTAAACAAAAACGCAAAAAAATGTAATTCGAATGTGCTAAAGGTAACAAAGTTTATTTTATCAGTGACTTTCATAATAATTATTGGAGTAAATTTTGCAGTTATCATTACTTCGTACATGACTAGATTGGAGCTGAATAAAAAAGAACTGTATAATAAAGGAAGTACTGCTTTTGGCCTGCAATAGAATGAACCTCAAGAGATTTGATCATAGAACTTACCTGTTTCAAATAATTGTTACCAAATTTCATCCTATTTTATATAATAAACACTTTCGTAAATTAGTCTAATTAGATAAAAATATTGTTAGTACAGAGTTTCATCGGACTGGACATTTTGGCGTGACACCAACCGTTCAACTTCAAACAAACTTTGAATGTTTAAGATTAAGTGTCGATGAGCGGCAAATTTATTCCGTTAGCACTCAATACATTCAGGCTCAGTTCCTAACCAGAAATTTAGAATAATTCGTTGTAATTTAGCATCATTGTTATCTTTATCCACACGCAAGGAAGATAAGCGGCATGGAGGGAACACAGGGAATGGCAGGAGGGTGGGTTCAAGGTGGCCAATTCTTACACAAGCAAAAAGCACAATTTCGTGACGTAAAAAGAAATTCGCAATTCATAGCAAATGTGTATCATAACAAGTAGTTCTGCAACAGTGCATTTACAAATCTCTTGCTTTAATTTTGTATTATATATGATTTATTCCACGCAGCGGATAAGAAATTTAATCATCCATTTATTTATCTTTTACAATTAATAGCTATTAAAATAAGACTAAAGCAAAGAAGCTCAAATGAACGTAATTCGTGGGCATAAGAAGCTTGGACAAGTGACCAATAACGTGAAAGCTTTTCACATTAATACATGCATTAGAGGCCTCAAAAATGTCGGACTGAACGCCAGCTAGATCCATATTTTTATACTGGTATATCTAAGACACGTTTAAACACTATTTTCATACTGGTATATTTAGGACAGGGCTTTTAAACAATGGCCCAAATTCGACAATGGTCCTTTACGGCGTCGTTGTTCTGCTTTTAAGCACCGACTGATTTTAGCAAGCATTTTTCGTAGGATATGATTTGGTCTCTAGCAATATTTGAACATTTCTTAGCGTACAGAAGCTTTAATTTCAAGTATGACAATTCAGATAATTTGTAATATTGAAACGCGAATTAATAAAAAAATATGCAAATCTTTAACAGATAAGTTTTCACGAAATTTTACATCAACTTTCAAACGTGAAGAAAAAAATACTTTCTCCCGGAATTTCTCACTGGTCAGTCGGACATTGAAGAGGCCTCTCTGATTACGCCCACTAACCTCCCTCCCTACACAGCCTGGCTTGCACCTCCACCAAACTCGTGCTCTCCATGTCACCTTGCTTCATGTGCTTCATGAATGCATAATTCATATCACCGTTCTTGCATCTATTCTCGAGTTCGATAAGGCTGATCTCGCTGCACGCATTTACCCGAGGTACGTTAATCTCACTACTCCTTGCCACAGCCACATCTGCATCTGAGAAAATTTCATTAACACTGAAAGACTTCATGTAATATTAATTAGCTTGCATATGAATTAAAAGCGTATAAATAAGCGTTTCATAAATATTTTATGCCAGGAGGAAAAAACGGCCGACTTATACTAACTTCATTCTGGAGTTAATTCGTAGTTCAGGTTGTAACAAAATCCGTTCAAAAACTGTCAATATACAGGGATCGGACAAAATACGGGAAACGCCTGTAATTTTGATATCGCAATTTTTGAACATGCAATAAATCAATGCAAACGTGACATTATTTGTTTATTGTTGCTGTTAATTGATATTTTATCCTTGAACAGATTTTTTAGTAAATTATGTCAATAACCTAACTATAACCTATAAATGACAAAACTCTCTGACTTTCAAGGAGGCTAAATTGTTGATGCCCGCATAAGGCAGGTGCTAGTGTGAAAGAAAATTCCCGAATGCTTGACATTTCTCGAGGTACTGTCTCAAAAGTAATGACTGCTTTTGAAAGAGAAGGAAAAACGTCCTAAGCAAAGCACTAGTCTGGCCGAAAGTTTAAGTTGTTGAGAGAGTATGTCGGTACATAAATCGAATTGAGGGACAATCGAAAGACCACGGTTGTTAAAATTACAGCAGGCCTCAATGAACACCTACAAAACCCAGTTTCCAAAAGACTGTCCGCCGAAAGCTGCACAGATCTGGATTACAGGAAAGAGCTGCAATTAGAAAACCTCTGGTTTCAAATACAAATGCTTCAGAGCGTTTAGAGTTGTGTAAAAACCTCCAGAATTGGTCCCTCGAGCAGTGGAAAAATGAGATTTTCTCTGACAAATCATCGATTACCTTATTTCCAACTTCTGGCCGAGTTTACGTTTGGAGACAGCCAAAAAAGTCATTTAATCCCAACTGCCTCCTTCCAACCGTAAAACATGTCCGGGGATCTGTGATGATACCTATAGGGTGCTATTTCTTGGAAATCCAGTGGACCAAGGATTTCTCTTCATGAAAGAATAAAAAACCGTTGCTATTTAGAAATTTTGGAGGACCAAGTTCATCAAATGGCTCAAGCACCGTTTACGGAGAGGAACACCATCTTTCAAGATGATAATACACCAATCCATACAGCTGGAATTGTTGAAAAATGACACGTCAAACATTCTAATGAAGATGAGCATCTCATTTGGCCACCACAATCACCAGACCTGAATATTATCGACCATTTGTGGTCGATTATAGAGGTGCAATCAGAAGTCTATTCCCGCCGCCATCGCCTTTAAAAGGGCTGGAGGGAGTTTTAACTGCAGAATGGGTTAATATTACTTTGGAAACAATTCACAATTTGGATAAATCAATACCTCGGAGAATTGATGCTGTAATTGCCGCAGCTACACCATACTTGAATATATTTTCTCCATTTCTCTACTTGAATATATTTTCCCATTTCTCAGGAGTTACCCTTATGTTGTCTAACCCCTGTATATGTCATTATTCATTATTACTAACACACAGACTTACTTCCAGAGCTGTCACATGAAGACCGGCCATCGGAAGAACCAGTGGAATCACTCATATTAGATGAAGAAGTTTCGATGCTCGATTTGTCAGTACTGTCGCCCACACTCTCAGCCGTAGCAGTTGTGCGCACTTCGGTAGCGTCATCAAGAGACATGACAATTTCAGACCCGTCGCCCACTTCGTTGGACTCGTGTTGAGGAACACTGTTAACATCCACATCTCCGCAGACTTGGACGTGGTTTTCAAGCACCTCCGGAGAATTTTCTGCCACATCAGAAGATTCTAGTGGTATTTTCTCGGGATTTTCGCACTGAACATCAACAGGAGATAACTTGGGTGGTAGCTGTTGATGCATCAGCTGCTGGTCTCTCTGCTTCATAGTTGCTAACTGTGATGCGAGAGAACTGCAAGACTCGCGCAGCTGCTGAACTTCAGTTTCTCTGACACTGCTCGCCTCTCTGTATACGTTGCATAGGATAGATCAGTGAGTTCTGTGGTACAATACAAATTGATAGCATAATATTACCTTCCATCGAGATCCTGATATTTAGTGTACAAGGGTTAAACATATGATAAATCAAAAGCAACTGCGCCAGTGTCAATTTCGCGCCGTAGACCTGCTGAAATGAATGATGCAAAATTTTAATTCTTGGAGAAGAATCAACATTTAAATGAATGATGACGATTCTACAGAAAAACAACCAGTTTTTTTATCCTTCCTACAAAAATTGCGGCTCAAATCTTATTACCTGTAGACGCAACTTCAATAACAAAATAGAATTACAAGCATTTCAAATTCTAAAAAATCTCAACTTTAAGACTGGCACACAACCAGGCTAGATAGCCATGACATTCATATCTCACATAAGGCACTCAAAGTTCTGACACGGGAAGTATATCTCACCTCAGCGACTTGGCTTCTTCTACAGCTTGACTGAGCTGCTTGTTGAGCCCCTTCTTGAGGTGCAGCTCTCGCTCCAGCTTCTCCGTCAACTCCAACTTCTTGTTGCTCTGTAGGGAATTGAACGTAAGATTATACAGAATAAATTAGGTACCTACGAAAATAAAACGTGAACTCTCAGTCAACTCCAACTTCTTGTTACTCTGTAGGGAATTGAATGTAAGATTATACAGAATCAATTAGGTACAAAAATAAAACGTGAACTCCCCCTAATGAGTTATTAAAGCTCAAAAATAACATTATACATTTATATAGATGCCACGGAAAATTCTAATTCTCTAAGTCTAAAATTCTAAGTCTAATTGGATTGAATAACACTTAAGTTTGTTTACGTACGCTTGATTTAGATTTTAGAATATAAGGCTGCAAAGGATAAAAAAAATGATGAATTGGCAAGAACAAGTACCATCATTACTGCAAAGGATAAAAAAGATGAATTACCGTAGTTAAAAACAAGTACCATCATTATGAATCCATCCTGAAGCTCAGCGAGCTGTTCTTTGAGCATCCTGTTCTGAGCCAGAGCTCTGGCCGCAGCAACCTTGTCACTCTGTAGCTTGGCCAGCAGGCCGCTGTTGTCAACGCGCTCCGTCTGTTGCTTGTCCAGGGCAAGCTCCAGCTGATCAACCTGACGTTGAAGCTCTTCAGAGAGATGGTGCAACGACAAGTTATTGTCCTCCTGTGGTTATAGAGAAATAACAGGTTAAAAGAAACTAATTATGTCGAAGATAAATGAAGGTTTAAAGATTGTTGTTCTATTACAATAAAATGGCTATAATAGGTTAAAACACATTTGAAATATACTGGTAACAATTCAGACAAGATGACTGTATTAAAGACTATTTACAATTTTCAATCAGACTGAGATGATAGGCTGAAAGACTGTTGTCCTACAATCAAAATTAGCGTACGATTAGTAAACATAGGGCAAAGAGAAAAAGAAAAAAATCATTCCATCTAATCACAACTGAAGTAACATGCATTCAAGGAAAACTTATTTCTATTGATTAGAATTATTCTGTAATATCAAAATGCACAATTTGACACAAACTGTCAAACTATCTCATCAAATAATTTCTAGGGAGACCAAGCTAGACTTAAACATCAACATCAGGGTGTCTCAGTCTATTCACTTTTCAACTTAGTTTAACGACCAAACATATCATTTAATCCATACGCAAAAAGGGGACGGAAAATTATTACAAAAAATTTATTGAGCTTAATTATCTTTACAACTTCAAATCACAAGCAAAAATTTATAATGGAAGAAATTTGAGTAAATCAAGTCGCCATGTCTGACGAGAATGGCAATATTCTAACCAGATTTTTGCTGTTTTCCTTTAGTTCCAGGATTTCTTCTTTCAGTTGCTGAGTTTCCTGGTCTTTCTGCTGCACTTGCTGCTGTAAATCCGCCACTAACTGCCGCGCAGAAGAATCATCCTCTACTGACGCCTGCTGATGCCGTAACTGCTTCTGCAGCTCCTCTACATGTTGCTGCAGGTCGGCCAGCGATGCTTGCAGCTGCAAACGCTGCTGCTCTGACTCACCAAGCTGGGCATATAATAATTAATTAATAGTTGCTTTCCACGTTAATCCACACAAATATTCAATATTCTAAATTGGCAGCTATCACCATTTTATACAGTGAAAGCAGGGTAAGAAAATCATGTTAAAAAGACATTGTGATTGGAACGCTGCAAGAGCAAAATATTTCCAATACTTTCCACAATATGAGCCAGATAGCCTTTCATTCTTTGCATTGGGTACCAGTTCATGAATCTCGTACATAACTTTAATTCCATACACTTTTGGATCATAGCAAATTCATTTTCGTTCTTCATTGCCAATTAGAATTAAAACTTGCCTGATTTTTGATATGATCAGATTGCTGAGAGAGCTGGGCAGTGTAGAGCTGATACTGTGAAGCTATCTGGTTCTTCTCAGCCTGGGCTTGTGCCAGCAACTGACGGACTTCACAAAGCTGCTCTTGGGCGGCCTGATGCGCCTTCTTCTCTTGGTTCAGTTCATCCAGGATGTTGGCAGAGTCTCCACTTGAATTCCGCAACTGTGATCACAACACATTCATTGCTTCATAACTTTTACAAGTACTGAGTTATCAGGCATAATGTTTTAACAGCATAAATAAATAATATTTTGTAATGCTTAGTGATGACATCATAATTAAAATTTTATAAGGCAGTCAAACATTTCAGATGACTTTCAATGAACATTATGATGATATTGATTGAGCGTTATAGTCAAACAGAACCAAGGTTTATGTTAAGAAGTAATAAAAGCCAAGAATTAAGATTATCTTGAAATATTGGGTGAATAATATCATGGCTCTGAAGTTCAGTGGACTTGAATATTATTAGGACACCGTGTACAGGAAGGCATTATTAAAAGAACACAATGCACCACTGTAAATGTAAGAGATAAAAGAAAAATCGACCCAAATGCAGGGCTTGAGTTCCTCAGCTGATTGTGATAGATTGCTACATTGCTGAAATGGAAGAGCTGAGCAAAAGGAGTTTAAAATTACCTGTTCAATGCGAATGTTTGCCATGTGTAGTTGAGTTTTGGTTTCATTGACCTGAGCTTGCATGCTCTGCTGGTCCTTGCTGCTGCTGTTGACACGTTCAGCTAGCTCAGCTGCACGCATTTCGTAGTCGCTGCAGCGAAGTTTAAACCTAAAGAGATAATTCGAAGAATTTTTTTAATTATTCACTGCAATATCGAAATGGTAGCCAATGAGTGAAATCATAATCTGAACGCATTGAAAGAAACCTTATCTGATAGGATCTACTAAATCCATAATCCTGTTTTTTTTACATTATATAACTATAAACATGATGCACATGATATATAACTATATTCCTGAAAATGGTTGTGCACACAAGCATCTAATGAACATGAGGATCCAAATGACAAAACAAATTGTATAATATACCAGGTAATAATGATAACTACCTAGCAGGTAAATCTAGAATTATTTGAATTGTATGTATAATACCTGAAATAACAAAAGATTACATTCTGATAAATATGAGGAATGTTGATATAGGTACCTTACTACAATGAAAAACAAAACTCATGGATTACCTAAGAGGAAGAACAATAAATTTTTAGAAAATGTATGGCTATTCTGGAGTGTGAGCTCTAGATTAAATAGCAACAAAGTTCGCTCAAGAGAAGGGCAAATAAAATATAATCTATTATATATAGCAAGGGAAGCTTTACAACATGAAGTTACAAGCAAAATCACGTATAGAAAATATAGATAAATCCTCACTCTAATATAAAAGAACTACGTAATGTGAACAATTACAATTATTCAATTTAGATAACAGTATACAAAATGACTACAGTTAAAATATTGTTTAAGAATAAATTAATTTATTGATTATTATATGATACTATTTACCTGTCTCTTTCTTCTTTCAACAAATGGAGATGAGACTGCAGGTCATCTCTCTCCATAGTGAGTGCGCTTATTCTAGCTTCTTTTGCTGCAAATGCCGCCTCTGCTTGCTCAACTTTAAGCCTCAACGCTGCTAGCTGACTCTCCATCCCTTTGCCTTGCTCACCTCTTCCTGAAAGCTGTTCTTTAGCTTCATTAAGCTGTGATTCAAGTTGCATTTTTTCAGCTACCAAAATGCTAATTGTTTGAACATGAAAATGCAGCTGTTGACGTACATGAGCAAGCTCTTCTTCATTCAAACTTGTACGTTTGTTATGTTCATCAGCAGAGGCTGTTGCTGCTTCTGCAGACTTTACATGTGATTCCTGCAACATGGCAGAGAGCTGCTGCAACTGCTGGTGCTGCTGTGCAGTCAGTAGTTGCTGCTGCTGAAGCTGATCAGTGAGAGACACATTTCGAGCTTCCAGATCAATGACTAGTGGATGAGATTTGTCCAGTTTTTCTTGATTGTCTGTAAATGAGAAAAAACAAATGGTGAAGAAGCAGCATTTGCATTACCAATTAATGTCTTAATTTGTAATGCAATTAATGGAACAAATAACTACCTGAAAAAGGTCTTTAGGTATTCAAAATCTTTTGAAAGCTGCTAAACATACTCCTTAGCAGGTACGGTACTTCTGATTCTGAATAATAATTTTTTTCAATATTATATAGATACCTGCATTGACTTTACTTGGAAGTTCTTGATGCGGCATTGGTACTTCTATCAAGTTGGCAGCTGAGCTCTGATCATGAATTGAAAACACTTGGCAAACTGGCTCAATGGTTGAGTCTTGAGCTGCATCTCTAGTGTGCTGAGGTTGATGAATAGCAGTGGCAGCCGACCTGATGGACTCAAGACTGCTATCCCTCTCACGGTTCTTCATTTGAATTTCTTGAGAGACTTCCGTAGCATTAGATAAAGATTGGCGACTAGTGTCAGCCAAAGTAGCAGAATCTAACAATTTGGATGATTCATTTCGTGATTCTGAAAAATAATTACTAACAATATTCATACTAGACCTAAGTGGAGCACTTGAATCATGCTGAGAATCTAAAGAGCTCAATGGCAAAACTTTACCAGGAAGGCTATCAACATCAGATTGAGCACTGGATTGTTCAATATTCTGCAATACAGAGGATGATTGCAAATATGCCTCATCACTATTTGCAAACTGTAAACTGTCTGCCAGAAAATCAGCAGCACTAGAAGACTGTACACTTGAGAAGAATGAAGCTGCACTCCTAAATGCTGGATGAGTGTTGGTATCCACATTTTTCTTGACATCTCCACACTCATATTCTTTAGTAGTTGGTGACGTGTTTGTTATGGTAGAGGTAGTAGAAGCATCAGGAACAGAAGCAAGTTGTGATGGAGCAGCCAAGGATGTAACTTCAAGATGGTCAGCATCGTTGAGTGGATCATATGAAGAGGCTCGTGAAGACAACTCTGTGCTTGCCTGGAAAATGTTATCACAATTAAAGACCCAAAAAAACAAAGCTGAAAAATCCTTTTCATTATTCCAGCATGACAACTTACAAGAAGTATATAACTAAACTTGCTCCAATTTACAATTTTCCTATCCATTTTATAGCATGATTCTATATTATGCAAGCATTAAAACTACCTTCTTAACACACAAACATTTAGCTTACAATTTCAATACCTTAATAGCAATTAGCAACTGATGACACACACACCTGAGATTCAGTGCCACTGCACCCACTTGATGCAGTTGCCAATTTGATGGCATCTCTCACCCGAGTGCGCTTATTACGGAATTCTTGCAACTGAAAAAATTGAGTAATTTAAACAAAGAAAAAATTTGCATCTTTAAGAGCTTCTGTGTTGTACAAACCTTTGTTTAAAATTATTGTTGGGCAGGCACAGTCAGAATTTCATTTGCACCTACTTGTAGACCTTAAATGGTCCCACAGCCCACTTAAGAATTAAGTGGGACCAGTCCAGTCATGGAATATACATCTCTACTTTCCAAATTATAACTAGAGCTATCAGTCAATCATACAATTTTCAGAGCCTAAAGATTCACACTAGATGACTAATGAGTAGCTAATGACTTAGCCAAGGTATATATATACTTATACATATTATGTGTCTTCTAAGTTCTATCTATAGCTAAATCCCTATACACAAATCATAAATGTCCATGATCAATCTGTGAAAATAGTGAGGTTACCATCTAATGGATAAATCATAAACGGAGTACCTAATAAGGGACGGTTTTGAGCATTTTTTGTTAATAACTTCTCACCAAGTCACCATGACACATTTCAGAAACAAGTTTGGGCTCATTTTAAAGCTCATTGCGTGGGGCCGTGGGCAATCAAATGGCACCTCCAAAAAAATTTCATATGCTATTTGTAAGGTGCCAGATGCAAAATAAAATATAAGTCATTAAGTGTCTGTTATTTATTTATTTTAAATTATTTTTTATTATTTTTACATAGGCCTAGTGGCAATTGGCAAACTAGAGATTTTTTAGAATCAGTTCATTTTTAATTTCCTCATTTACTCAATATTTAAACCAATTTCTTATGTATGATAATGCTGTTAGCCTAGTAGGCCTGTTGCTGGTATCCATGATACTTACTTTACTGGTCTACTTAATAGTACTTATTGCCTACCTAGTAAAAAATCAAAATCGAAAATTGGGGAGAGTCTAAAAGGATTGAGTCGAGAGAGAGTAGGCTATAAAAAAACTCTGCTTTGCCACTAAAGTGATACTCGGTATAACATAACATAACATAGTGATGTCGGCGCTGAAGTGTAGGCCTGATGTAGCCTGTCGCCGATTCTTTTCCTTTTCGTGCCTTGTTCATAGATCTAAACTCGTGTCATTTGACCGGATCTTTTCATGACTGGCGATAGTTTGAACTTTGAAGTAGCTACTAGAGTAACTAGACTTCCACTGGGTTCGATAAGGAGCTAGGTAGGCATTTCAAATCTGAACATATATTTTTCCATAGCTTTATGCCTTTATCTAGTCTGTTCTTGAACGCCCTAGGGTAATTATTGTATCTATTGTTTACGTAATAAATTTTTAGCACTCTTAGCAAAATATGAAATTCTGATAAAGTAAATAATCACCTTAGATCTAGCTGCAGCCAATTTTTGTTCTTTTTCTGAATCTGACATGTTGGCTCACTGACGTGACAACGTTTGAAGTTCGAACGCATTTCGCTAACGTAGAAAGTATACAGAAATGATATGTCTGCATCAAACGTTTGCATGAAACGACCTTTAATAGTCACATGAGCCACAGATGCTCTATAATACTTCAAGTTTTTATTATTAATATTCCTACTATCTTGTGAAGAGACAACTCAATCGTAATCGAAAGAGGACGTGCTTGCAAGCCTTTCTGTCTTCCTAAATAAGTGCCAGTTTTCTCAATTTTTTCGCACGATCTATTTGTTCGAAGATCAAGACATTTTTTAAAGTGATTTCTTCAGTCGAAATGCATCAGTTCCTTCCCTGTCGCAGATTAAAGACTCGCTTACATGTGGCGATGTGCGCACATTACAGATGTGTCGGAAAAGACCAATAATAAGCCGAATAATTATTAATCCCAGCAACAATTGCGCTTTCAAGTCAGAGTAGTATGGTGATTTGGTTTAATCGGTTCTCTTCTACATATGTTTTTCTTCTTCTTTGCATGGTGTCTGCCATCAGGATTAGCTTTGTGGCTGAGAGATTGTGGAGTTTTAGTTTCTTGGTATGGTAAAATAATCAATTCCTTCTTTCTTATGAGAGGTCAGCTGACAAGATTTCAGTTGAATCTCAGTACAGGGTTATGGGGGCATTTACGGAAGACAAGTATGAGTAAGTTACCTGAAGTGTAAGCTCATTTGAGATGAAGCGCTGCAGCGCAATTGAAGAAGTTTAGCTTGTGCAACACCTCTCTCCATTCTCGGCAATCAATAGAGACACCTAGATGGCATTAAATTAGCTAGCCTAACAATAGGAGCGGGTCAAACAGATGTCACACGGAGCGGGTCAAACAATATCGTCACACGATCGAATTAAAGGCCGTCAGATTAAAGGCCGTGTTATTTAATCTACTGATCTGCCATCTTAGTTAATTCGTCCTTCTTGGCCTGATGTACCCCCGTGTTCAGAACGACGACGTGAATCTTTACAAGCAAGTTCTTCTAGACATAGAGGACTACACTTCGACGATTTCCTGCAGATACCACAGTGATCAGTGTCGCTCAGTTTGAGGCTGTACAGCTAGCTCTTGATGACCAACTTGATGTTTGACTGCCGTCAAACAAAGTTGAAATATTTTGTCTTGATTTTCACGGTTCAAGAATAAATAACTGAAATATGATTCGACATTCCAGACTGTTATTGTTTTCTCGAGGGAAGTTAGAGCAAAATAACTTGGCAAGAGATTTACTCTCATAGCAGGTAACTCAGCCCTGTGGTGCCAGACAACGATGATGCACGCTCATAAGCTAGGTTTACTTGATATAAGTACACCCGTTGTTCAGAAATTTAGTTTCTGAAACAGAAGTTTAAGAAAATAAAACCGTGAACCTAGCTTCTGAGCGTGCATCACCGCTGTCAGGCACCACAAGGCGGAGTACCCGTCGAATAATTTGTATGGAAAATGAAAGCAGGTTAACATTTTGTGACCATTCGTGTAACTGCGCAATTGAATTTAATGACTTATTTACAATTTTGTTCACTTTTTAATTGAATGAGTTTAGCTCCAATCTATAAATTTTATTTAGCTTAATTTTCCACGCAGTAGCCCACAGTAATACTCAAACACATTTGTTAAAGTAGAGCCTGACCCTGGCAATTTGAAACATATCTTAACCGGGGGCGCTGCCGTGAACTACAAATTCAAGTATTAAATTAATCTTGGAGTTATTGCCCAGCCACAGTATGAGCTAGCTACACTCAGCCTCAGAGGTAGAAGCTGCATACTACGCTAGAACACCATAAATTGAACATGATTAAGCGGTGGCTGTGAAAATACGGTGCTGTGCTTTGAGTATTTATGGGGAATTATTTATCCCCAGCTTTCCCATCGCCTATTTTTATATTAGGATACCATCATGCGCCGCATGACTTATTTTTTCCAGTTTAATGTGCATTTTTCTTTATGAAATCTTTGTGATAATTTGGTAATAAAATGCTCTTTCAATAAAAATGCTACACTGTCTCATGCAAAAACCGGACGCAAAAACTAAAGCTCGCACATACATGCGGTGCGTTGCGTTCGATGCGTCTTTTCTGCAGTTACTTTTTGCTTACAAAATTGAAAAAAGACAAATTTTGCGATTTTTTTGACCCTCTAATTTTATGGAATTTAGGTGAGTTATTTTGTGCTCGGAATATCAAGTGGAGTGTAGACTTGTTTGATGCATCCCTATCTAGACCTAATAAGAAGCACGTAATCGATCCTATATTGCTATGTAATGCTTTTTATCATATGTTTTTACCTACTTATTTTTTCTTTAAAATTTTAATACAGGTAGCCTGCTTCTGGCCACAAACTGAATTGCATACCGCAAGTCAACCTTATCAAATTTTACATGCGAGTTAATATTTCTTTCCCTGGGTAAGCGCACTGGACGGCCTTGTAGCTCCGAAGTTAAGTGACTAAGCAATCAGAACCTTATCCTTCGGCAAGCAGAAACACGTTTAGTTTGATATTTTCAGCCGTTATCTAGATTCTCCACCCAAAACAAAACCAAACTGGACCTTTTGTACCCTCAATGACTACAAGAAGATGGAGAGTATGAGTAACTGTAGTAGGTTACGCCAGCAATGTTTTTTTAACATTATTATAGAAGTCCCAGAAGCTAGACCATGTCGTCCCTCGACATAACGGGTTGTGGTTTATATAGCACAAGGCACAATTAAGAAAGTTGTCAGGATGTTGCCTCTAGTTATGTTATACGAAAGTTGTCACAGCTTACAAAGTTATCTGAAAATGTACAGCACTTGTGGGGCTTCGAGGGTTTGAGTTTGGTAGGACTTCAAGAACGGGTACTTGCCACACCGAGACCGCGCCAGAGAGAACCCAAGGCGAAGGAAAAACGACACCAGGAAGAAGACCACACCAGATCAGGCCTAGGGATCAACCACACCTGGGGGCACACGCCTAGTCTAGGGTCGACCACGCCTGAAAGGTAGCATGTAATCTTCGGTTGCCTTGCTGCTGTTTCAACTCTAGACGGGGTCATGTACAATCCGCAGCAATCTTAACGCTATAAGAGGAGTTAGAGCAGATGGGATGAAGTGATGTCATTAAAAAGAAGAATTATGGACTGGGAGTAATGATCACTGATCAGTGAAAAAAATGTTGAATTACGTACAAGTATCACCGTCGGCTCAACGACTTGGAGTGGAACAGCACTGTAGTTGCCATCGCTTCCAGCAACTTCTACCATCTTTCAACCAGTATTGCAATTTAATACGCGTGGTTGAGAATGTACTAAAATCGTCAATTTTGGTCCTTCGACTACACACAATTTAGTCGGTACGTTTCTTGGGATGGGAATGCGACACTGTTGGGCCTGACCCACATGCTGCTTCACTTCATGGCGAAATTTTAATGAATAATTATGAGTAGAATCATTTGCGAATTGTCGCTGGGTCACAGATTTCTGAAGAAGTCTATCGGCAGATTTCTGAAGAAGTCTATCGGCAGATTTCAACAGCCCATGCAACTCAATCGGCAGAAAAAAATATTGAAAAATTATTGTTAAGGAATTCAATTAACGGACAGTTTATTTGCATAACTTTATGCAGAATTTTTTTCACGACCTCCACTTTGTTAAAAACCTCAACTTTGAATGTCTAAAATATCAGTTAACAGCATCTGTATCAGTGAACTGCATCTATATCGTTGTGTCACTCCTTATGCCACAACTACCTTCCAACCACAATTTCACCTGGAGAATTAAGTATTCCAGGGCACAGCAGAATACAGCAGGAACTATCTTCGGCCTCTTATCGCAAAGATCCGCCAGTCTTTAGAGTTCTGTCACTTGTGCTAGACGTCGCATCTGTGCTTCGCAACTTCGTATGGTGACGTTCTCGTTCAGTGTGGCCCTGCTTGAAGTTGATTCGGATTTAGGGTTAATGCTTCAACTCCACTAGACTCATCTTCCCGTCCTCCTCCTGCCTGTGGCGTGAGACGTGAACAGCTGGCCGTGCCCCTTCTTCGGTGCAACACGTGGACTCTAGACAACAGCATGTTGTGGGTGGCGTGACGACTATTTGTGCAGTGTCCTCCATGCCTTTTCAAATGCTGTCTAATTTGCTTAGCCAAATAGTCTTCTCGAGCCATCAATTTTTATAAATAAACATGATCTCAGTAGCATTCATTTAAATAAATCTCTAGTGCGATTATCTCATATTGCAGAGATCGTTAGAAAGATTTTCTGAAACATTTGTTACATTAAGCAATTCTAAGCGCGGAGCATTGCAAGTCTAACCGCTAATTTACTTTGTCTCCTACTTAATTATGTTGTATATTTAGGTGCTGTGATCTCTTGAGACTTTGCCTGGGACTGCGGCGGAAGCACTGGCCCACTGCTTACCTATCAGCGGCAGGGGTCCCCGCCACAGCTACCGGATTCGGGGACGATACCGAGCTATGACGTTCGTCATAAATTTTTTATGCGACGCATGTCGCATAATTCATCGCTCAATAAACTGTCCTTCTACTGATCCAATTTTTACTCCCCTGAGAAGTTTTTCATGAATTATCAATCAAATTCAACATTAGTGAACTCAATCAATCTAAAATTAATGAAAAATTATCAAACAATAGCAATATTAATACTTAAATATGTAAGTCAACAAATTCCCTATCGTGGAATACTACCAATCATTGTCGAGATCTGACGTAACACCCGCAATAGGTGAGGGATTACTGTGCAAGACATAGCTGCATGCCTGTGTAAGTCAAATTGCTACCCACAAGAAAAATTCATAAAACTTGCACGCGAATAGGTTGTGTAGCTGCTGTTGAGCGGTGATAACTTTCTCAAATAAATGCACCTTCTTACGGTAGCCGAATGGTCAAAGTTCAAGGCACCGATATTTGTATAATGAGGTGTGGGTTCGACACCAGTAGTCAATTGTTAAGTTCAGGTAAAAATCGGCGAGGTGGCCGGTCCGATAGTCACAGTGGACATTGTAGTAGGTACTGAGCAGCGTTTTCGAGACCTTCACCGAACTGTGAAAATTATGTATTATTGTTAGTATTATTATTACTGTTATCATTGGTAATATCATTTTATAATTATTAGTATAACTATTATTATTATTTTTTTGTATTATTATTATAAGCACCGATTGTTTTGTTATTATATTCATAGAAAACCCTGCCAGGGACCAATCATCACGAATGATACTGCTGCATTTATTCCATCATTTGACTTTAGGGACACCTGGTAAAGAAAAATTGGGAAACTTTGAGGTACAGCAGTATTCAATTCACCATGAAAGCAACTGGTAACTTTTTACAAGCAAAAGATTTTTGAATAAACAATGGAGTTGAACCAAGCCCATTAAAGGAATCCAACAAATCTCGCCACTCGATCTAATTGGCTTGCGCGGGATAAAAGAATTCTGAAGAGCAGTAAAACATTGTGTAAGATGATTTAGCACTTACTTATTTCACGAGGTCTAAGTTCAGTCATGGTCTAAGTGGTCCGAATCAATCTTTTAGTCACAAGCGACACAAGGTCCGGTCTGCCTGACCTGTTCGGGTCTGAATTTAAGGCAGTAAGTCAGTAACATCGCTAACATGCGACGGAAAAGTGGCGTAAGGCATTAGCTTCTGTCGGTTTCCTCCACAATTACTAGTAAATTACCTGACTATAACCGCCGTTAACTGGATTTATTGACAAGATTTAAGCAATTGACACGCTTGACTTGATGCAAGCACCTGTAGGCTGTAACGCTGTACCCGGCCTCGGTTAGGCGTCCGGCGGGTGCTGGAGAAATGTCGAGATTCTGTAGTAGTAGTACATATGATACGCCTACGAGTGAAGTTACGGAAAACCGGTTACCAGCGTAACATTTTCAACTGACGTCAGACTGTTCACTCAGACAACTACCGTACAACAAAATTATAGCATAAACCATAAAGGAATGCAGTTTCTCGACTTAGCCTAATGTTTGAGTGTTTGTGTTAACAATGTTATACAAAACGAAATTGCCTGTGCAAAGTGTGCAATGTGCATACAATGATACAGTCACAGCTCTAGTGTAGAGGTTTAGACTTGTCCACAGTTTTGTTGAGCGGCATCTTCGAATGAGCTGTCGTTGACTTCAGCGATATTTTCTCGGCTGGAAGACATCATGGAGAGTCGACGGATAGGAGTGCAGATTAAGGGCGGTGCCGGCACTCGGACATCGCTCTGTGACGGCATCATCTGAGGGCCGCTGTAAGTTCTTCGAGTCTCCACGCGGGCCTGTCGGGAAACGTGAAGTGTTATCAACCTCATAGTTTTGCATTATACGTTCTATTGATGTTTGGCTATGTCGGTCATGATTACCTACATGAAAAACTTGAGTCAACTCTTCGTGAAAGAGAAAAGTTATTTGTTAGTTTTAACAATAGGAGGGGTTAAGTGCTTGCATTGACCAATGGGATAAAACCATTTACGTCATTATAGAAAAAGTAACGTTTTATAATTGAGTAATCAAATAATGTACTTCATTTTGCGTGTAAGGAATAGTGCAGAATGACCAAGGCATTCATGGTTAACCCTGAATAGAGCACGTACCTCAGCTACACAGTAAATTATTGGGAAATATTTACCCAAAGAATGAGAATTTACGACCTGTAACTTACCTCTCAGAGAACGTTCGCACACTGAATTCAGTTATCATTACTTAACTGAAAGGACAAATTTGGGCTAGAATTTATTTTCTACCTAATAATTCATAATTTACTTCAAGGAAATCTCAATACAAAAACTCGTTCTCACTTTCTTGTTGGCACGAGAATAACGATCATTCCTGGGCAGAGGAGCCACATTAGCGCTGGGACGCGGGTTGATGAGGATCCTGCCACTTGCTTGCACTTGGCTCAAAGGTTTTTCTTTCACATATCGTTCTACGTCGCTCGCAATCTGTGGTGACAGACAGCAGTTCAGAGCAAATAAGCAGGAAACTTTAATATCTGTAAAGATCTTAACCGCAAAAGAAGTTTTTCATGCATGAAAATCAAAATGTGGTTTACTGTTTTTACAGCTAATTACTTCATACGGGTAGACCTCATGTACAACACAGCCACTCGTACAGGATAACACGGCCCTAAGTCTGCTAGCGTCTGTGCAGCATGAACTTTGTTCTTTGGAACCCTATTTCTTTAATTTTCTAATCTTCTTCCTTATTCTGATATTTTTTAACTGTAATGAACAAAAATTTTTTCATTATAACTTCCGTAGCGACGTAGTAAATAAATTCATTGAAATAGCATGAAATTTCGCCCTCAATAATGTGCCGCAAACGGGAACGGAGAGATAATAACCAAACGCTGAGTGCGTAGACGTAGCATTCTTGTGATCTCAACGTAACCCCAAACACCTCAAGCCGTAACACTCAACCAACCTCGTAAGTATCCGAGCTGTCTGACCCGATGTGGTACACAGACGCCGGCGAGTTGAAGACCACGCGCTTGCTCTTCCCATAACTTGCGCTCGAATTGTGGTCCTTTAGGATTCCCCTCTTTAAGTACGAAAACGTAGGAAGATGCGTCGACTTCTTTGCTCCGTTCTCCACGCGCTTCTGAAATGATCGCATTGGATTGTGATAACCTAACATGTTATCAAACCTAAAGTACACGACTCATGAATTGCTATCAAGAACTCCATTGTCTCTTTTTAAAGAAAGACTTAAATGCAGTTTTTAATTCCTGAAATTCATGGGATAATTAAATAAGCGAGTTTATTGTAGGTAATTTCAGTTTAAATATTATTGATCTATTATTCAAGTACTTCTTGCAGGGGGCCGGCGGTGATGCTTGGTTTAGTGAAGATTTCGTCTTTTTTGTTTGAAAAAAATGATGCATTCCTGATGTTTGGCTTCAGGGGCGTCGTTGAGGCATCATCAGTCTTGGCTACTACGCTCCATGTTGCGACCCCCGTTGCACTTGTCGGAGTTGGGTTTCGGTTTACTTCGTTCAATGAAAAAGGTTGCATCTGATGAAAAAAAACTTAGATAACAGACTTGCAGGAATACGTTGAAGTATTTATACACGATACATTCGTGCTCGCAAACACTCATTCCACACCATGCAAAGAACGTTCACAGGCAAAGTTATTTGAATAAATACAATACAACGAAGGAAATACTTGAAATTCAACCATATACATACACACATGAGTTGTATGACATCACCACTTTTACTATTGCCGTATTGTCATAAACATTGAAGCAGCATTTGATATAGACACATAAAACGATCACAATCTTAATATACAAGATATATAGTTTTATACAGGTATAGCCATGTGCCAAGCTCGTCCATCTTAGCATATTATAACAAAATAAAAGAGTCACACCATTTCTTCAGGCGAGTTGACGACATCAACAAACGGCGAAGGTGATTTTTCTGTCATTTGAGATGGCAGCAAAGTAGACATCCTAGCTGCAGCTGAAGACATCTGGTCAGCTTTCCCCTCAAGCAGAGGAGAGACGAGGGCAGCAGATCCCTTAGACACATCGTCAGCTACCTTCGTCAGCAGCGATGTTGTCAGCGCGGTCGCCGTTGGTGACTGCAAGTCTGCCGTCTCCACCAGCAACGGGTTCACGGAGGTGAGTTCGCAACGCGGCTGCACGTTTGTCCCTTCCTTCTCCTGTGAAAAATCCCGTTGAATATGTGAGGACCGATAGTGAAACAAGTAGATGGAAATACAAGTCTCATGCAGCAGTGAAAGTCTAATCACACGCGCACTCACAATAAAAAATCTTCTATTTGTTGAATGTATTTTACGATCCATTCAAAGTAGTTTCTAAAAGTAAGATTGATAAAATTTCAAAGCTACCATTTTACAGCAATTAACAATGTTTGACATTGTATTTTATTAAAAATTCGGCACTGTCCACAATTATTGTAGTTGTAATTTTGTCCCCGCCTTCGAAATAACCGTAACTCTGGCGTGAAAAAGTCAAGCATGAGTACACGCTAGACTAATATGTGCTGCAAAGCTCAGACATCATAAGAGAAATTAGACAGTTAAAGACTCACGAGAATCTGGTTGAGTTGAGCAGATTGCCTTGCCGCGGCATCCTTCTCCTGCTCCTTACTGCGCAGGAGCTTCTCAATTTGTGCGTTGCGCTCCCACAGCATTTCCTTCATCTCCTGCAACACGGAAGTACAAAAAATAAGAGGCTTCAAAGAAAACTCTTAAGGAAAACTTCATAATTGAAAGGCATATACTATAGAGGTTCCATAATAACTATAATTACAGGAGTCATAAACAAAATATCTAATATTTAGCTTAACCAACCAACAAATGCATGTATTTTGTTCTAAAATTTCCTACTAAAAATGAGTTTTGAATCATCTTCTAAGCCGAGAGGAGAGAAAAAATGGCCGTTTAATCTATCTATTAATCTTATCTTTAATCTATCTAACAAGTAATCTGGCCGTTTAATCTAATCTACAAACATAGATTACAACACCAAATAAGACAAGAAAGATTTTGAAAAATATAACTTTTCTGATTATAATATAAATGATTTTGAAATGGCGAATGAGACAGAAGAGGTCTTACAATAAACCTGCTATTGTGCATAGCCTCTGAAGCAGCCAGTTGCTTCCTGAGAGCTTGCGCTTCTTGGGCCGCTGCAGCGGCTCGTTGCTCCACCGTTTCCTGTTATAATAGAGACAATATTAATTCAAATTCGAACTCATTTGGGAAAGTTGCTCGTCTCTCTCCACTAGAAATATTTTGACGTTACTATGATTCGACTTAGATCGAATGCATGAATTTGCTAAACTGTTATTGCTCGGTTTTGTTAGTGAAGACGAGCATTCATTATCACGTTGAGTGCGACACGACCCACCAGCGCTGTCAGTTGGCCTAAAACGGTCAAGTCCGCGAATAAAAAGGCCAATTATTGAAAAAATACTATTAGATTTGTAAGTTCCGTTCCGGTGCACAAATGCAATTTCCTTTCTTCCGTACTTTTTCAACTGTAAAGAGGCAGTACTGCCATCAGAAATTTTTGTCGACAGACGCAATTGAAAAAAATTAAATAGCGGAAAACTAAATTTCACAAAATAACTGTCTTTATATTAGCTTCCAATCGTATGCCGCGAATAAAATGTAGAAGGCTGGGCAGCATCTAAATTTGATTACACTGACAAATTTTACATATAATTGCATTTTGATTGTAAGTAAATAAACTTGTATCATCAACTACATTTATACGAGGAAGATTTTCATGGGTTCAGATTTTTTTGTGGATCATAGAACCCACGTCCCTCGTAGCAGTCTTACGGCTTGTGCTGACGTCCTAGCGCACCCCGAACGTCCGCTACAAAACCACTCTGAATATTATTCTGTAAGAAACTATTGGTGAAATTAACTTCTGAAAGAAACTATTGGTGAAACTTATAAAACTAACGCACCTTCTCGCTCGTAAGCTGGCTTATAGTTTCTTGAGTCTCGAGCTTGTAGCGTTCATGGTCTTCGATGAGCTCCTGATTACGAATCTCTGCGATGGTGTTGTCAGCCGCACGACATTCTTCTCGTAGCTGGTCCAAGCTCTTCTCTAGCTTCTCCACGTTGTGGCGAAGACGTTCGTTCTTCTTAGAAACGTTTTTTGGGGCGGGCCATAATTTATATTCTACTTTCTAGTCCACAAGAAAAAAACGTAGTTTTTTAAAAAAGTTATTTTTATGTATTTTTTAATACTGGTGGCAAATAAATCGGTGGCGTCACCTCTTTCTCGCAGGCTCGGATGGCAGCATTTTTTTGGTCGATTTCCTTCATGAGATCTTCCATGCGTTTCACCAGCGTCTTGGAGGCCTCGGCGGTGCTGTTCAGCTCAGCTCTGAGAATGTAAAACATTTTATCTAATTTCGCAGGGTGTTTTCAACATTTTATAAAAATATAGCGAGTAGTTCGAATTTATGAGCGCAATCAAACCACTAATGGTACTATAAAAATACTGTAAATATTTAAACGTAATTTCCCGTCTTCTTAAATATCGACTAGTCGAAACTTATTTCTCATGACGAAACGACACAAATGCGGTGTTTCGTCTGAATTGACTTATAAGCGTCAAAATGAACGGTAACAACTTATTATGAACACTCCAATGCTTTCCAGAATTTATCGTAAGTAAGTTCTCTATTAAGTTCTAAAAGATCCGGTCAATTGAAACGATATTAGATCTTCTGTGAACAAGGCACGAAAAGGAAAAGAATAGGCGACAGGCCACATATCAGGCCTACACTTCAGCGCCGAGATCAATATGTTATGTTATGTTATTACAAACCGATTCTGCGTGTAAACGATCGTTATGATGCACCTCATCTCTCTATCTCTCTCAACTGATCAAAGTTATATTAGTTATTCAAAAATAAGTATACACAGAAAAAGACGCGTATCAGCTAGAGCTGAAGCAAACGAGGTGGGGACAATAAAACGTACGTGACTTTATTAATCGTTGTCTCGCATTCATCTCGCTCGTCCTGCAGTTGATACCCGCACCTCAGCTATCAGTCGCTCGCACTCCTGGCTCAGCTCTTGCTGCTTCTGCTCCCCAGCACTCACCTGGGTCAAAGCAAAAAACTTATATTTGCATAACTGGTGTAATTCGGCAGAAATTTTTTCCTTAATGTAAGTTTCATTGAAGACCAGAGAGTATTTCTTATTGACAATTTTTTGTTTCTTTATTTGGCAAATTAGGCTTTCGATAGAACTTGAAAATTCAAGTATCAGGTTTCCAAGGGAAATTTTATTATAATTTACGACGTTTCGAATGCAACTACATTCATTATCAAGTAAAGGTTGAGTTTTGTAACACTTGAATTTGAAATGACGTTAGTACAAACATAGGGTATTATGGAAGCAGATTGAAAATAAAAGCTTGAATTACGAGAACAGTTTCAACGTTCTTACAAATCATCATGCTTACCATCGACTGTTTGTATATTTACAAATAAAACTAAACTAAAGAAATAATTGAAGACGAAATAATTTAAATTTATATAATTTAATAAAATTAGAAACAAGTTTGAGTACAACATATGCGGAAATTATGCTTTTCGTTTCCACGTCTGGGAAAGGATATTTTAAAGAGGGATCAGACCTTCAAACACGATATCATACATGACACAAAATCAAAATGTTTGCGATCAACGAGCCCCTGGCTATGACGAGTAACCTTTTCTAAGGCCTCATGCCGCTGTAGAGTAAGAGCAGCCTGCTGCGCTTGCTGCGTCAGCTGCAGTTCACCGAACTCGAGCTGTAACTGCAGGAGAGCGTCGTCCTTGTACGTGATCTGCTCTTGCATGTGTGCCATGGCTGCTGCGTCTGCAGTAGTTTGTACCTTCAGCACATCCATCTCCTGCCTGGACAAATAGAACAATTAAAGCAGAAAAATCAGACAGAATGACAGAAAAGAGAATTAAATTTTTCCCTTCTCGACTAAAAACGTTTAATTCACTCCTTATATCAGCAGGAAGACATAGAATGAACATGAGTTACTTGAGTGCGTCGTGTTGCTCCTGCAGCAACTGGTAGCACTGCTGGTTATCCTGCAGCGCGTCTTCAGCAGAGCGAAGTTTGCTGCGTAACTCGTCCAGCTGAGCCTCCTGGTCCTGGCACAGACATTAAACCGAGTCAATATAAGATAATAAAATTAATTAGTTATTCATTATTAACAAGTCAATCGAGAGTGGCCAGCCTATGGGAGAGTACACCTACTAAACAGATGCGTGCTGAGCCTCATTGCTAGTATCTGAATTCACGAAAAAGTTTGAAGATGTATTTCAGCCCCAATGCAAGCTAAGCTTATAATAAAGGGCGAGATGGAAGGTCATTTAAAATGATACAAAGTTTGGTAGTTGGAAGTGTTTGAACATTTCGTGATTTGTACAACAAACGAACGTACCTGCAGCGTCTGCTGCAGTGAGTTAATCTGCAGTATAGCGGCCTGCTGGGTCTCCTGCTGCACCGCCTCATGCGATGCTTCCGCCTCACGCATCTGAAACCCAGAAAACTCACGTCAATTACGTTCAAAATTTCAGCAAATATCCATCGGCTATAGCTATATCGAGTGGTTGGGGTCATATATAGCGGTTTCAGCGTTTATTAGGCCATAGGCCTGTCGCCGATTCTTAACATCGCAGAACATCCACAGCTTGTTGCGGTCTCGAACTCGCAACTCACTGCTATAATTCTGCGGTGCTTAACCGCCCAGCCTTCTCGTCGATTCTGACCAGAAACTGGCGCACAGAGCTGGGATCGAACCCGCGCCTCTCTGCGCCAATCCTGGTACTCTAAACTTTAACCACTGGGCCACAAACATTAACACAAACATTTTAACCACATGCAAAATTAAATCAATCGTATCTACGAATCTTCGGGTGATGTTAACAAACGTATGGTCAACCGAAAATTTGACCATATAAAAAGCAATTTGGTATCCTTGAAATCTGAAAAATAATATTATCATCCACGGCAAGAATTTTAACGTGCCTTCCAGCTGGAGAAATGTCTACTCGTACAGAGATGTCTACTCGTAGAGAGAAATAGATGAACGCTATAGTTCCCCTTATCGGAATAATTAAAATAAAAGCCTTCAAATCAGAAAGAGATTTGTTGCATGGTTTCAATTTGTTTGCAAGGTGATAATTTTATCAAAGGCATGGAAGCCCATCGCTATGTTTCGGGATCCCGTCTGTTTTGAGGTTAACCCAAATTCAGGGACTAATTATATTCATAGTTCTAATTTTACAAGCTGGACTCCCTAACTTATCATAGAACCATCGTCAAACATGTAAACGACAGGAAACACGTAAATAAGTTTAATTTATATTTTTATATATTTCAATTTGAAGTTACCTGGTGAAGTTCATAAATAATGGTAGGACATTAGAATGAAAATTAAATCTAAAGTCAGTCTGTACATAATTCTACTCATTAGCATAAATTTGCGAAAGATGAACAAAAAAATCAAACATTGTTAGCTCCTTCCGATGATTCAATTTCAAAATAGAGAGAGTATCGATAGAAATGTTCAAAATAATTATCATTTAAACCTGAGTTTTGAAAGTCGCTTATCAATCGAGTGGCCTATACACCAACCAGACGCTCATACTTAGTTAATGAACCGATATTCATGAGTAAGAAAGTGAAAAAGGGCCTCTAAAGCTTTTCGCCTATTTTTTATCGGAAGTGGTGCCTGTTGTAATCAGACAACTCTTTGTACCGAGAAAAATTATTACTACTCATAAGGATGGAAGGAATATAGGCAATGAGTGACAAGAACTTGCCTGGTCTCGTAGGGCTTGTATCTGCGACAGTGTCTCGTTGCGCTGATGCTCCGCTGCTTCTGTTGCCGTCGCCAGCGCCTTTTGCGACTCCTGCAAAATATTCGAGATACTCATAAGGGTCACGTAAGTCGGAAGAGAGAGTAACTTACTCTCCGCTGCTGCCCTCGGCTTCAATAGGCAGAGTTACCTTTCCAGCTCACTACCTACAGCTGATCCGCGGCTTCAGTATATAGTTCAGAACTTACATCACACTACCTGTAGCTGCCCCATGTCTTCACAATCTGGTCCTGACATTTCAACACAATGCCTGGAGGTGATTCTCGGCTCCCGAGTTTTGTCACATGTGAAACATCGAGTAAGGAAACTATCTTACGACTTTTTTGATAAAATCTGTAGAAGAATGGTTAATTTACAATAATAAGTTTTTAAGTGATACTTGATGAGAGGCACTACCTGGAGCTGCTCTTCGACCTCCTTGAGTAGGTCCTGCAGTTGCACCATAGCGGCTTTCACGCTCGCACTCTCCCGCTTTGCCTCCATGCTTGCCGCCCCAAACTCGGCAGCCTTCTGTTCAGTCTCGAGGTTCTTCTGCTCACAGGGAAATAGAAGCGTCAGATATATTGCTCGGCACAACTCTCTACACAACGAATTACTTCCCTGCTCAACACTGAATTTATGAAGGAACTTTGAAGTTATTAACTTTGTGAAGCAATTTTTATCTACTTTATACTTATCACAAATTTCTATTATAAAAATGTGGCTCAAAAACATCTAAGAATCCGTGCTCTCCGTGTATTCATTTACGTAAATTTTCACCACGGATACTAATAATCTGTGGATGTTAGCACGTGCAAGTACAGTTATAGTTTCAACCTTATCGACGAGCTTTAAGAATCGATAATTTTTTATTTGTACCATACTAAAATTAAAAAGTGAAGTATTAAGTGCCAGCATTCATGAATGCAGAATTAACAAAGTAATTTAATAGATAATTAGTAATAAATTAGAATGCACTCATTATCGTGCAAAGAATTTGGTTGAGCACTTGCAAGGGCACGTTTGGCTCTGACCTTCTCAAGAAGCGCTGCTTCGTGCCTGAGCTGCTCGATGGTGTCGCACAACTCGGTCCTGTTCTCCTGCATGGTGAGCTGCACGTCCTCCAGGGCGCTGATCTTGTCTGCTGCGAGCGCCAAGTCCTCCATGGTCTCCGAAGTCCTGCACGAACAATAGCAATCTACTCCAGCGTCCTACGAACCTGCTTGGGAAACTTTATTACACCAGTTCATCGTTTGATATTCATGCTAACATTGGAATACATGCAAATGATGAATGCAAAAGTTCGGCTGTATATACAACTAGTGCTGCTAGCAAGCACCAATAAACCATAGAAAACGCCATGACTGTACATAGCTAGCCGTAGGTTACGAAGCCTCGAATTCTCCAAGAATTTCTCTGAACACTGCATCAGTATAAATGACAAACTGCTAAATTCACGACGCTGAACAAACGTAAATTCAGTGAACTTGCTTGAGTTGTGCGTTGTCAAGTCGACGCTGCAGGTCAGCAGAGCGTCTCTGCAGGGCGGCCACCTCCTGGCCTGCAGACTCGCGCTGCTCTGCCAGCTCAGCTCGCACCTGCAACAGGAGCGCGTCATGTCGGGGTACTCGGGGGCCCAGACAAATGATAATAATAATGATATGGAGGATAGTACAAGCATTGCATTGTAGTGAGATGGAGGATAGTACAAGCATTGCATTGTAGTGAGATGGAGGATAGTACAAGCATTGCATTGACATGACTGTACATAGCTAGTTACGAAGCCTCTAATTCTCCAAGAATTTCTCTGAACACTGCATCATTATAAATGAAAAACTGTTAAATTGACCACACTAAACAAACGTAAACTCAGTGGACTTGCTTGAGTTGTGCGTCGTCAAGTCGACGCTGCAGGTCAGCAGAGCGTCTCTGCAGGGCGGCCACCTCCTGGCCTGCAGTCTCGCGCTGCTCCACCAGCTCAGCTCGCACCTGCAACAGGAGCGCGTCATGTCGGGGTACTCGGGGGCCCAGACAAATGATAATAATAATGATATGGAGGATAGTGTAGTGTATATTGTACTGCAGTGAGATGGAGGATAGTACATGCATTGTACTGCAGTGAGATGGAGGATAGTATAAGCATTGTACTGTAGCGAGATAGAGGATAGTACAAGGATTGTGCTCGAGTACTGAGATGGAGGACAATACAAGCATTATTTATACTCGCCACGTCAACATCACATCAAACAGAAGCAATCCGTGCGGCTCTAAATGAACTACGATGAAGTATTATCATCGCCATAATAATTATCATTTAAATTGTTCTACCTCCAATGGTGTGTCCCTGATTATTGATACAAGTGTCAACGAAAGGAACGTGTCACGAGCAATCTATTCCCATACACAATATAATGTTAACAAATTAGAGTATATTATTTATTCTGTTCTACATAGAAACTTTCTTAACATTTATATTCTCTTTCATAGTTTTCTGTACGAGAGGTGAATATTAAGAATGAATCAAATTACCTCGGCCAGGTCACGGGTGAGCCCAGCTTCCAGTTGCTGCAGACGCTGAAGCTGCAGCTGCAAGTCACGCAGCTGCTGATTACTCTGCTGCAGCTGAGTCTCTGTGCTGGAGAGCTGCTGCTTGCACTCATGCAGCTCAGTGCAGGTCACTCTCATTTGCTGCTCAGCCTCCTTAACTCGTTCATCCGCGCCATTCATTGTGCGCTCGCCTTAATAAAAATACACAATATTTGTAAATGAAAAAACATTACCGGTTTAAAAAGGCGTTCCTCTGGTTTCTACGTCCCATAGATTTAACAATACCCTTCCCGTTATCTAATCCCGAGAATCCCGTTCATGTTATGAAATATTTTTTTTGTCATCCAAACTGAATTAAAGAGAGATGAAAGTCCCTTTCAAACCCTCATTAACTAAAAAACTTCAATTTGAACACAGTTCTGAAATTGGCAATAATTTTCATTTTATTATTTGCCTGCAAATTTGGTTAGAGGATATCTCAAGTCTATCCGATTTTCGATATATTTGCACCCTCTTTGTCCGCTGCGATATAATTCTACGACATCAAAAGAATATTCAGGTCTAGCTAATATACCGACACGATAGGTACCGGTATTGCGGACACGCACCCGAGGAAACCAACAATTAATTAAGAACTTCGAATGAAAAGCGAGAGTAAACACATTTGAGAATAAACTAACTTACATTTGAGAATAAACTCCTGCACTTGCTGTTTCTGTTCAGCCTCCCGCTTACGAACCGACTCCTGTATCTTATACAGAGCAGCTTCTGTTTCTTGCTGCCTCTGTTCCAGCGCTTGTCTGTTGGCGCTGAACTGCTCTGTGACGCTCTGTAGAGAGCTCTGCTGCTGCTGCAACTCTGCCATCATGGCCCGAGTTATGCCCACTCTGCTCAAAACCAAATAAGCATTAGAGAATCGAAATTCAATATTGAATCGCTCTACGATTGAAATAAATATCAACACTACCTCATTGGCAATAATATGAAATTTTGGCAATTAAAGACTATTTTTTAGCGCATTTTCTCTCATTTATGGAAAAAAGGCGCTATTGGGCTCGCCATGTCCGTCGGTCCGTCTGTCTGTCTGTCCGTCCGTCCGTGACCACGTTTACGTTGACGAGAAAATGCGCGCTGTGTCACTAACTGTAGTGAGTACTGAGTTATATTTTTTACTTTATTAGTGACATTTTACTAGTGTGGCTTCCGCGCTAAAATTAGGGCATTACGAACGGCGCGGATTCATATAGTATAATTTGCACAGCAAGCTGTGGGTCTCGAGCCCGCATATTACTATTTCAACCTGGCTGTGCTGCATCACCCTTATACCTTATCTATTTTGACATTAATTTTTCATTACGCTGCGCGTTTCGAACACGGAACTCAATGCTCCAATCTTGGTGATCTTAACCACTCTGTCACCCCAAGTTTGAATACTAATGATATGTTCCATATTGAGCGATGAAATTGTCTGTGAGACAATCTTAGAACGAGATCAGCCTTGTGTCGGGTGTAGACGCGCCCCATGGGGGTGGTGCCTGTACAAACTGATTGTCCACGAGGCGACCACGCCGTGTCTGTACTCACTTGTTGTCCACGAGGTGACCACGCAGTGTCTGTGCTCACTTGTTGTCCACGAGGAGCAGTGTCTGCACTCACTTGTTGTCTACACCACGCAGTGTCTGTACTCACTTGTTGTCTACACCACGCAGTGTCTGTACTCACTTGTTGTCCACGAGGTGACCAAGCAGTGTCTGCACTCACTTGTTGTCTACACCACGCAGTGCCTGTACTCACTTGTTGTCGACGAGGTGACTGCGGTGCTGCTGCTGTGCCAGTTCGTTGTTCAGTTTGTGAGACTGAAGCTGCAGGCTCTCGAGATTGCGTCGCAGGGTCGCCACTGTGTTCTCGCTCTCCTCGAGCTGTTGCTTCGTGTCGCTCAGCTCCACCTGCCGGAAAAATGCGTGTTGAGCAGAGCAACGCAATGTTGAATGCACTTCTTGGTCGCTATTAACCGCTTCTGCAGCTTTCAAAATAATATTGTTCACACAACATGAACACTTTCAAATAGAAGAAAAATAATTAAATGAGAAAACTATTAAGACTAGTCTCCTTTGCCTTATACCTTCATTCACATAATCCTTTCAGTCACTCGGAAACCACATGGGATCATTAATTTAGAACATTTACCAGCGATCGTCCAACCAATTTTTCATACCGATTATTAAATCGTAAGTCGTGGTTACCCTAAATGCTGGACAACACAACACAATTCAACAAATATAAGACAAATGGTAACGAAGAGAGCGTAGTCGGAATGCATCACCTCGGTGACGGCCTTCCATCGCAAAATGTTGTCTGTTTCTAGCTGCAGTTTGGCTTGCAGGGAGTCACGCTTGGCCAGTCCCGTCTCCTGCTGCTGATGCTTTACACCGACGTCAGCATACACTGCGAGAAATCAAGCTTTTATTATGACCAACATTTAAATGCTCCTGCATTTTCTTCAAGTGAATAGATAGAAATTTGTCAATAAAGTAGTTAAGATTGGAAATTTTCTGTTCTTTTTACCAGAAATTCTGTTTGGCAAACGTCACGGGGAAGTTAAATATTCGTTCTTTAAACCGTAGACTTCATATGAACGTGCGTAATATATGTACATAGAGCAAGGCTTTCATCTTAAAGACGCAAATGTTTACGAGTTTTTCCTTGTGATATGTTTCTTTGTCCCAAAAATAACTGAGAATTTTATGTTATATTTGTTCAAATTCTTCATCCCCAGCATTTCTTACCGCTGCAATTTTTTTCTTATTGTTTAACTGCAAACTACATTTTTTTAGGGGCTTCGTTAACTTGACGTTTTATACAAGACAAAGTTTACACTTACGGTAGGCTAAAGTTGGAGCCCAAACTGTAGATAAACGAAACAGAATATAACAGGAAGTAGTAGAGACATTTAACAGAAATTTGTAAAAAAAACAGTATTGAATTTAGACGAGAAAGACAGAAAATAATCAAAGCAGAAATTCGTATTTAAACGAAGCCGAAAGTGGTAACAAATGAATCAGAAATTAGGACGTGAACGTGACTGAAATTAATAAGTAATCAAAACAGAAATTTGTAAATTAACAAATTTGAAAGTAGATACTAAAATAAGGAAATGCGAATATGTTAATAGCCTTCAGCAATCAACATGAAGGAATTCTAGCCCAAAGTATAGCCACTTCTATGTAAAGGGATAATCATTGCATAAAATATAATACATAATAAGTTGACAAGTATTAGTCTGTGCATAAATGAGGCAGCTGTAACTCACGACGCTGCTGTGGAGCATACTTCTTGCCGGGCTGGGGTCGCGACGCGCCGCACCCACTGCCGGTGTTCGAGAAGATCCCCACTGCGCGTTGCATTGACCACTTGCACGTACTCGATGTGGCTAATGTTGGAGTTGTGTCGATTGGGCGGTGCTGTAATACAAGAAACCCTCGCAAGATTATTAAGTAAATGAAAACGTGCCTGAGTCTCTTGTAGGGCTCACTAACTAAACGAAATAAGCGTTATAAATATTCATTATTCAAAATTCTTGAAGCGACGAATTTACAAAAAAAAAAAACAATTTTTAAAAAAACTTGGTTGAACGAGGAAAAAAAATCTTGTTAATCTACAGATCGATTGAGGCTCTAGGTTGATTAACTGATTAGGTTTGCCTTCGCCAGTAGTGATGGCTTCATTAAATTGCAATCGGGCCCAAGCAGTGAGCAGTCAATACTATAACTCAATGTGTCGAGAAAAATTCAACGCTGAAAATAAATCAGCCAGTTTTCCGCAGTAAAGTTGAATGTAGTACGTCTCAGACAACAGCTGTCTACTTAGGTTTACTACCAAACAATGAATAACATATTCTATAACAGTATAACAGAATAAACAGATCCGAGCCACAGTATACGATGATTTTTTCAGCTCAATATGCGTAGCATTATATCGAAGCTGGCACCAAAAACAAATCCATCCTAACTTAGGATGGATTTCTTTATTGGATGTAGTGCTCAATAAGTTGCGACTGTTGCGATGGCACTCAACTGAAAGATTTCCACTAGGATAGTTTTGATTTTGGTTGTTGAACTCAACTCTCAAGGCAGCACAACACGATCCCAGCAGCGATTCTAAAACGTGATTGCAGCTTAGAAAACTTTTCTGCAATGCAAGTCATTAATAAGAAAATCACCTTTACCTACCTATTTTCATTGAGATCTTTTAATAATCCGCAATTAACAATAGCATACATTGAGCTCTAAACAAGCTTTAGTTTAATGCTCAAAATTGCTAATCAGCAAGTTCTCCGTATAACAAACTAGGTTCTCGTCGGTTGTAACTTGTAAGTTGTAACTAAGGAACTTTCTTTGATTTAGAATTTTCATACATGCGCATTTTTGAGTAGAATTTTAGAAATGTCATTAATTTGTAAGTTAGTTTCCGGTTAATCCTTCATCGATCCTTTCGAGGGATGTTTTCATACAAATACGCCGCAAGGCGCAATGATCGAATTGTGTGTATTATACAACAATCGCTTTCAAGCTTTCCGCCTACATTGCTATGGAACGACATTTTTTATATGATAATTCTTTAAAATGGTAATTAACAGTATATAATTCTAAATGGAAATCTTACTTCTTCAAAACAGGAGACGACAACCTCAACCGGCGGAATCTAAATTGAAACTAACGCAAAAGAAAAGCAAGAGGAAAACATTTTCACTCAAAAATTCCTCTTGGAATTACGCATAATTTTATCATAAATAAACCTGTTAATGTTAATGATTTTCTATAATTAGGTTTTTATTTATCTCGTCAATGTCTTAAAATAATATTTCAAATTGACAGGAAACAATCGATAGTTTTGTTAATAAAGTATATATATCTGACCGTATGATTGCGCTGACAGATTTGAACAATTTAAAAACCTATGATGGCCTTCTAATGAAACAATGGTGATGTTAAAGCTTTTATTATAGAATTTACTTGCTTATCATATCTATAGTCTTATGGGGCTAGATAATTGTAGATAAGTGAAATGAAAGTAATATTAGTCATGATCACGCCGTGTGTAGTACAAAATATAGATTATCAAGCGAGGCAAAGAATAGAAAACTCTACATTTTTAGGCTTAGATAGTACCTATCTATTTTATAATTACGTTCTACCGATGAGTCCATGGGTGTATGTGCGCGTGTGTGTTTTTTTTTTTTTAATTTCCTGACTTCAAATAACAGTTATATCTAAGCTAAAGACCAAGAATGAAGCCTAAAAGCATTATTTAAGGACTCGTATCTCTGCCTAAAAGCGTTATTTACGGACTCGTATCTCTGCTAATTATAACCTGTATGCCAAAAATTGTAATCAAGCTAAGAAAATCTGTCGCACCGCAGTGAAAAGTCTTGAAACTTTTTTTTGCCTGAAACGCAAAAAAAGCCTTCTTTTCGTGCGTTAGTTTGAAGTTTAAGGCAAACGACCGTTCTTCTGATTTGAAAGTAGTTCAACGAGAGATGTCCTATAATGAGGGAAATGCTAACGTTCTTAATCAGTTCTTTAGCAGTGTATTTACAAATGAGGACTTGAACAGCATTCTTGCTATTGTGACGTCCAGTGGCCTTGACGTTGATTAGTTTTGAAACACAACAGGAAGAGCCTAAGAGGTTTTTAAGCGTCTCTCTGAATCCCAATAAATCATGTAGACCTGACGGATTCTACCCCATATTACTCAGAGAATCAGCAACAGTCTTTACCGGCCTTATGAGAGTATGTTTCCATAAAACCTTGAACGAATGGACTTTGCGGGTCGATTGGAAAGAAGCTCAAGTGACTGCATTGTTGAAAAAGGTGACAAAAGTGACACGTGCAAGTTGCAACTATCACTCTGTCAATCTGACAAGTGTTGTTTGAAGGTTATTAAGGGATAGGATGATCGATAACTTGACTATCTATCAATTTCTGTGAACTTTAAACATGGCTCTATAGCCGGCCGTTTTTGGATCTCCAACTTCTTGTTGGAGACTGATTCTCCAACAAGAAATTGCCAATTTTTTTTGGCAATTTCGACTGATTCGACTCGCCTGCTGGGCGAAGAGGATCCAGTGGATGCATTAATGTGTAACTCCCTGCTAACTTTGTTGTAGCTCAGATTATTAACGCGTTCAACAATGGACTAGACAAAGCTATTTAGAGGTATATGTGCAGACTTGAAGTGCCTGTTACCCATCTATATTAAATAAAGTTGTTGCTATATACTCAATTCAACGTCAGTGTGGAAAATGGTCTGGTATAAATGCCTGTTTTTCGATCTCCTGTGAACAAGTTACAAAAAATGACATAAGTCAGCGACAGGCCAAATCTGGCATATTATTCAGCGCCAAAAATAATATTCTATATTTTAGTATTCGTATTATAATATGCTATACTCGTGGTTCAACTATATGCTAATTCAAGCATGGCTATACTATACTATAATTAATACTGCTAAACGAAGTTGTCTATGCACGAATCAGCGTAAAGCGGAAGGAAAACTCACTCCGACTAATTTATAGTGGAAATAGCGTGTAGAAAACGGTCGAAGTAGAAGCAATATTAATACTCTGACGACGAAGTGGAATCCATTGTTATTCTTATTAAAATTCACAGTATCCGGTTATAAAATATAGGAGTGAACATTAAGCTTATTCAGAATCGTAGTTAAAAAATTTTAACATGTAGGCGATGTAGCCTAACTTCCAAAAACAAGTACCAGTGGCAGTATGATAAATTCACTCTGACATAATGTCAAAGCAGAGACTTTTTTAGACTCTTTCTCTACTTCACTTCTGACCTGACTCACCTGAGTGAGTTTTGAGTCCATTTTAGTAGACTAGTTAAGTATCATGGATACCATCATTTTCATACATAATATAATGGTTTTATATCTAAATCTTGAGTAGATGAAGAAATTAAAAATTAAATGATACTAAAAAATATGTGGTTTGACATGATGATGATCATGATGTTGCTAGAAAATGCTAGTCATTTATCCACATGTCAGGATAAGTGAACAATTTTCACAATGAATATGTTCTAAAATAAAATAAAAAGTATGTCAACTATTCCAGAAAAGTCTCAATTTCAAAAGTAGTTATAGACTTATAGTCTTAAGTCTTATAGACTATAGTACACTACCAACAAAGTTTTTGGAACCACACAAAATGATGAGATAATCTCCAAAACTGGTTCTTGTAGCCTTGTAGGTTAACCAGATGAACTTCATGAAGCTTGGGCTATTCCATGGTCAGGAAGATGTGCCAGGTGCGCGAGAATTTATTTTGTCATTTTAACGACCTGCGCGGTGCCCACTGTGCAGAGAGTGAACGAAGATTTAAAGACCTACGGCAACCATGGTGGCTATGCGTTTGCAAGAGCATCGCCCGGTCCGGCCCCCGTCTCTTATACACATCTAGATGTGTATAAGAGACAGCTTGTTGTCCACGAGGTGACCAAGCAGTGTCTGCACTCACTTGTTGTCTACACCACGCAGAGTCTGTGCTCACTTGTTGTCCACGAGGTGACCACGCAGTGTCTGTACTCACTTGTTGTCCACGAGGTGACCACGCAGTGTCTGTACTCACTTGTTGTCCACGAGGTGACCAAGCAGTGTCTGTACT